TTAGTAGCAGAAGTAGTTGTGACAGTAAAACCTATAATCGTAAAAGCTTAAGTAGGTCCAGTTAGTATAAACAGTTATCCATACATATAAATGTGTTTCTATGACAGTTTGGACTCAACACTAACTAGTATAAGTGTTGTATATGTTAACCTTTGAGTACTGTTTACTTGCATCTACTTGTGTAAGGTATCTGACGATATAGTGACTGTATATTGACCTAAACATCTGAGCTGGTATATGTTATCACTGTAAAATCCCTGGAAAGCAGATTAGGATTAAAAGGGTATATTCTAAATCATTTACAGGAATTTATTTTCTTGCTTTACTATGCTTCATACCTTCCACTTATGTCATAAGGCCTACATGTTTGACACCTGAGGTTCTGATACCTGCTGAGTAATAGCACATAAAATATACACTGTCTAATCAGTTGTTATTCTGATTTGGGTATCATGATATTCACTTAAGTAATGTAGTAAATGTAAGATCAGGTATTTATTGAGGTATTTCTAAGCCATTTTAACAAAACTACTATAAAAACTGTATGATAGGCATATATTAATATTTTTTATATAAATAGCTTGATAGAAGACAGTGTTGAACATGTGTCAGCAGTGTATGAGACTAAAAATAAGCTCATGTCACAGGCCTTAACGTGAGTCACATGTCTGGTGAACCCTCTCGCTTCAGACGGGACACCGTGACTGTGAAGCAGCGTGAAGATGGATGTGATGATGCGGGTATGGAGGCCCATCAGACCCGGGAGGTGACTCACCTCCTCCGCCTGCTTGCGAAGCGCTTTCTCCCGCTCGTACTGGGTGATGAGCTGCTCGTTGTCCTCCTTCAGCAGCTCCAGCTCCACCTCGTGCTCCTGGTTCTCGGTCAGCACCCCGTCCAGGTTTTCCAGGACGTTCACCACGAGCGGCATCAGCTCCTTCACCACCTCCTCGTCATAGCTGCGGATCAGCCGCTCGAACTCCCGGTAGATGCTGTTGGCCAAGCCCGACACCCGCTCCGACATCACGGAGCCGGAGCCGTAGTCGTCCTGGTAGACCACCTCGTCTATCTGCAGCTCCATCATCTTGGCAGCTGGACCCGGCTTCTCTCTTCCAGATGAGGAGGCTGCGTTGAACAGTTTTTTTCAGGCCTGCAAGGCGAGACTGTCACAAGGTTTGGATCCGCTCAGCGCGTAAAAAGAGGGGGCATTCAATCACAGCCTTCGATCAAATAAAGAAAACAATCAGCCTATGCCATGCTGCCGCAGCAACACATTCACTGAACGATAACTGGCTGTTGCTGTGCTTAACCTTGAAATTACTGGCTCTAATATTGTGATGTAAAGAGGGCCCCCTCCTCCTCCGCCACCAGCCCGTTGTATCGCCTCCAGACGCGGCCCAGCTATTGCTCTCCCCCCGCAGAGAGCATCTGATCCGGGGAGCAGCGGATGTGGAGTTGTCCAGCCGGAGCTTCGGCCCTCGCTGAGCCCATGCCGAGGAAATGCCTTCGTCGATGATATATTGCACCTGACTCTCTCAGCAGCAGCCGCAGCCATGGACCCCGGCCATTGCTGGCAGGGGGAAATAAATAAATAAATAAATAGTTAAATAAATAATCGAACGCTCCCTGATCCGCAGCCGACGCCCCGTTCCGCCACTATATCGCTTCCACCATGTTTGATCCCCCTTTACAGCGGGCGGCCGACGCAGCTGGCCGGGCTCGGGCGGTGATGGTGATGTCTCCCTATGGGAGAGGCTCTCTCTGCTGCTCGGAGAGAGGAGCCAGCTGACCGACTCTGTGTGACGTCACACCGTCTGCATTGAACCAGCGGACTCACTGCGTCAAGTCAGGCAGACTACACCGGAAGTCCGCTTCACGATTTCAAAATAAAGCTGAACAAAAAGTGTTTAAATTGTGATCGGGTTAGATAAACGCTCAGCTTTTTAATGATTTCAAAACGAGTTTCTCTTAAAAGGGACACTCCACTCAACGAATTAAAAAGGACAGCTAAATCATACCACACGTCCTGTGTAAAAAGTTGTTTAAATACTACTCCGTTGTTAATGAGCTCATTTATGAAATATCTCATCTTGAAAAAAATGATATTCATATAGTTATTTCATTCTATACGCAACCAATTTGTTCAAGACTCATTGACATGACCCTTTCCTCCAGCCTACCTTCAGATTACTACATTTGATTTGGTTCATGTAGTAACATCCTTGCGGATGGTCTTATTTTGGAAGTTGAAACCGGAAGTGATAACTATCTTTGTAGCAAACTTGACCAATCTCTGCAGGAGGACAGTACCTGGTGCTGGAATTAAATAATGGTGACAATGCACTCTCCAATAAATGAAATAAAATGGTTCACAGTGCAGACAAACAAAAGCAATTATAAAAGACTAGACCACATGAAACCTCACAGATATTTTAAAGTTAAATATTTGTAAATTTTGTGGACCATTTGAGATATTATACTATACTTGTATTCTGTCAGTTGGGATACTAATTCCCACCTGACAGACTAAAAGTACCTCAATTTAAATAATTTTTGTTTAGCTAACATCTCAAATTTTCTGAACACTCGCAACAAAAATGTATCTTCTTATAAATGTTAAAGTTGTTTGCCAACGCATTGGTGCTCAGTTGGTGCCAGTGAAAGCTCATTCTACTTTCATCTGTACAGTAGATGCAGTTTTAAGCCTCGTCTGAAGGGGTCAGCATATAATAACTATGTTGCTGATTTATACCACAGAGGAAACGGCTCTGTTCTTGAAAAGTCTTCTGAATGTTTGCCACCTGGATGTAATTTAAAATATGGTCAGTAAAGAAACTTACCTCCACACATTTCTTTCCATGACGAGACAATATGTGGAGGGATTCAGCTTTCCACGCTGAGACTTTTATCGGCTTCTTGCTGCAAATGCACTTGACTCTGCAAAAGAGATCAACAGAGTTTCATAATCCTGCAGTGGACATTCACAATGACCATAAAGATGGAGGAATGTCTCCAGTTAGCATTTGATATCAAATTTACTTTTTGTACACGTTAAAACAAATTGTATGTTCAGATACACCAAGAAACATTACTGGATGCATTAGAAGAAATACAGATATTAAACACAAACATAATCACAAAAGATCTGATAAAGATGTTCTTGTGTTGTATTAATTCATTGCTTTTAAAAAAATGTTACACTTCTTATAAAATTATTGCAAATGTAGACAGTTTTTCCCAGTAAAGGATTAATAAAATCAGGTGAGATTTTTTGCTCAACAAGACTACTGCCTGACTATAAGAGGGAATAAAGGTTACAGTCTCAAGAACTCAGATAGGATAAAAGAAAATCCTTCCAGACAATAATAAAAAGGGAAGGCGTGGAGAGCAAACATCTTTCAGGGAGACAAGTGAAGCTTGGACTATTGTTTGCTGTGAAGAGGACTAACAATGGAGACAAAGACGGGTCAATGAAGCGTAGAGACTGGAGCTAAAGGGCCCAAAGCCAAAATGAATCTTAACCACCTTCATATTTAACAACTATTTCCAACAGCACAACAAAATATAAACACAGTAAATACTTAGCAATACTCACATCTGAAAGGGGAGAAGGCAGTATTAATGTACAATATGTCAGAGAAACATCGAGGCTTCAGTTGTTCATATTTCACTCAGCAGGGGGCAGTGAATTACTGACATCATTTTCATTTCACACCACTCCTCAGTGTTCTTCAGAGGCTGACAGCAGAAGGTGGGTGGTCCTTTGAAGCCAACAAGAGGTTTGAGGTTAAGGACAACTATAGAACCAAAAGTGGAGAAAGCAGATGTAAAGTTACATGAACCTGGTTTAGGTTGCGAAACAATCTTCCAGTTTCCTAACATGTAAAATACGAAAAAATATTAGCTTGGTCTCATTTAATCTCTTTATTTAGTTCTCGACTAAACAACCTTTTTAAACCATGTTCTTGCAATCCAACATTACCATAAGCAGAACAATTACAAACACTGAATACAGTATTAAGATAGTTTTAACCAAGATAAGTTCAAGTAGTTCACACTGATCTACGACAGAGAATCTGGAGAGAAGTTTGACCGACAGGATTTTTCAGCTCCTGTTGTTTTCCTCCTGCCAGTGAGTTAACTGCCTAACACACCCGTTAGTGTAGCATGGATCACTTGTTATGGCCTAAAATGCATCACATGCCATCTGTGCTATCATTAAGTCAACCGAGACGTAGGTTGTTTATCCGTCTCGCTCTCATTTCACACAAACAGTAATCACGGTTGAGGAAGTTATGCAATGGCCCCTGAAACAAGTTACAGAGAAGCTGCCTGTGAAAGAGGCTTCCGTTATTGAAGACGAGGGTCATAGTGGTCCAAACAATCAGCCACGACTCATTCTTACCCACAATAGGACGCTGAGCACGGGATTATAATTTCAAGGCTGACATCATGGATGAGTAACGGCTGTTTACGGCATTGGTTTGAACAATTTGTTCTGCCGGCCTCTGGCTTTCATTTTTAAGGAAACGGGTCCTCAAGTAGATTCATTTTCTTTTAAGCTATAAAATGTGTATCAATACTTAAATGTAAAATGAAGGGAGACCTGGTAGGCTGCCACGTATCACACAAATAGGACTCATGTCCATCTCAGTGTCTCACATGTAATATCTGTCTGCTCTTTTAGACGGTTACTTAAAAGAAGAAAATGAAAAACGGAACGTGTATATGTAAAGCTAAACTTACATCTTCCTGCTGTGCATAAAGAGCATTTAGTCTTAGAACAAGCAGCACAGAACGCTGAGCCAGTGATTCAAGAACCCACTAGAACTGTGGAGCAGACGAGACGTAGTTTGTCACATTTAGACAAACGTTTAACACGGTATCCATGGTAAAGTCAACCTAAATATATTTAACCCCTTTTAATTTATTATTAAATCAATAATAGAGAAAAAGTGTTAATAATTTGCTATGTTTTCAGAAAGGAAACAAAATAAACAACCTTTAAATGCAAAACAACAGTTTTATTGTAATACACAGGATTTTGTTCTGCTGCGCTCATTGCCTGCCAGGCACATCAACACTCAGGGAGAGGGAGGGGGAGGGGGAGGGCAGGCCGGCACCAGAATACCATTAATGTGCATCATGAATTGGGTGAAAAGATTTTTATCAATGAGCCCACCTGGACTCAGGCAGGCCACGAGATTGTCCAGACTTCACACGTCTTCAGCCGTTTTAATTTAAAACATAAACTGAGGCCTACCTCGAGCACAACAGGCGTGTTCTCAGATGAAGCAAAGCAAAGAAGAGAGAGCAGAGAAGTACCTGCGTAATACAGACGCGTACAATCAAAAACGGAATTTTCTTTAAGGAAGCAGAAATATTTAGCAGTAAACAATTGCATTCATCTTTGTTTCATCGTCAATTTTTGGCATCTATCCTTGAACAGAGAACAAATTATTAATGTTAGACACATGTTGAAATGACGGGATGATTAGTGAGAAGGCAGGAAAGATGACAAGATGCTGAGCTGATATAAGGCTTCATTGGTTGTAGTCCAACACATCCATTATTTTATAAAACTGCAAAACAAAAGGTTTTATGTAGCAATCCAATAACGATCCAGCAACACCTAAAAAGGTGGCACGAGTGGAACTCCCTGAAACGTGTTACATTGATGCATTTACCCCCTCTGGATAGAACGGTAACATAATAAGGTTTAAAACAAGCACCTTCAAATTCAAGCAAATGCCTGCCGTGAATTCTATAAACCAGGATTTTCTTAAATCCAGGACTGTTTGAAGCTGATCATTGTACGAGCACGCCAACGATTTAACGTTTTCAAAAGGACAAACTGTCTTAACCCAAACTACATTTACAAACACAGAAACAGTGAAACAGTATATTGTGATTGAACAGTGTTACAGTTAAAGTGATTAGCTAATAGCTGGCCTGTTGATTGATTGGTGATTGCAGGTTTCATTGAAGAAGAATTAGACAAAGAGACAAGAAAAAGGGCTGAAAGTGCAAGAAGTTGAGGACAACATAGTTGAAAAGGACTCTGGTGAGAAGAACAAAGATGCCTGCTCTGTGTTTGAATGTACAGGTGTTGCAATAAGAGAAGACTGACAGGGGAGCAGACACAGAGAGCATGGACACCAACAGGGAGGAGATGCGTGTGTTTAGCTGATCAGTAGAATACCACACTAGACTTTCCTCCGGGGGGGTTGAGGACCCTGTTGTGAGAGCGAGGCTTGGGTCCCAGATGAGGCTCGTGGTTCTTCGCCTCACCGGTCGGGTCTGTCTCCTCAGGAGGTGAGGAAGGGGAAGATGAAGATGGGGGCTCAGGATTAGGAGTGGCTGGGACCACAGCAGGCTCCTCCTTGGCTGGCACGGGAGATGGTGTGGGGGCCACTTCCTCCTTCACCTCAGGCTGGCTGACCGGGGGTTCTGGTGCTGAGAGAGGACAAAGAAAGTGTCTTACAGAAATATCCTAAAAGTATAAACACCTATTTCCAACTGGAATATATAATAGAAACTCCATTTTTAGAGTCACATCTCAATGGAATGAGAGTTAACCAAAGGGTGCAAAACTCAAAATATACATTTTATTAGTCTTAATTCTAATCCCTGTGATCTACATAACAAAACCCTTTCACACGTTCAAAGTTACATTGAGTAGGATGAGTCGGTATAAAACTAATCTCCCAAAAAGAGTAGACAGTTTCCTTTATGTAACTCACCAGGTGATGATTTGGTTTCGGGTCCCACATTTATATTGTCCTGAAAATAAAGAAACAGAGATAAGAGTATTCTCCCTGTGTGATCACCTTAAGGACTTAATAAAAACAGGCTCTCTTCTTCATGTTACTTAAATAAAACTAAAGTAGTGTCGCAAAACAGTGCAACTTCAAATTAAAGTAGTTGTCGTGTCTCTTGAAAAGAAGATTATAATCTCAACACGACTTTAGCTGGTTAAATAAACAGCCTCAACATGTTTACAGAAACCTGGTGATTTTATTGATTTCTTAAGAAGTGGCTGTTTGGAATATATTTGGGTCACTGCTGAGATCGTTACAATAGACTCAGCAGTCTAGCAGTACTCTGGTTAAACAAACACTATTGACCGTAGGGAGGACTGATTGATACACTAGTCGTATGTTCAAGTCTTACAAGATAAAATGAGTTATACAAGCAGACTTTTGGACTTTAACTGCACAAGAGGTGGTGGGGGGGAATATTCTTTTTTTAAAAGTAGTGAAAAGCAATCGAATAAAAATAATCAAACCTCAGGCAGAGCGTATAAAATGTGGGTGCATGGCCTACCTTTGGCTTATTTGGGTGGCTTTGGTTTCGGCTCTGGGCCTGTTCTGCAGCACCGAATATGTCGCTGGTTGGTCCACCGGGAGGTTTGTGTCTCTGCTGCCAAGCTGGAGGTTCAGGATCCCCGAATATTCCGCTACTCTTCCCACCTACATAAAGTATCACCAGTATGCGTGTTATGTTTTTGCAGCAGCGACAGCGTCGTAACAGCACACTCTTCTTTGTAACATTTAATTTTGGTCGGCTCGTGAACTGCCCTGACCACAGATTTATGACACGTTTATATATTTTGACATCTAAATTGAGCTTATTTATGACCAGTCACCCTTCAGCATCAAAACATATTCATGAGAACATTATGGTGTGAGATAATGTACACATATTCCAGTGGGATGCTAACACCACAGTGAAAAATAAAACAGATATTGCAGTCAGGGTGACTCAGCAGTCTTTTTTTAACAGCAGTCTGGACTGAAAACATTCTTGACTTTACCAGATACGCCACAGAATCTGGAGGTGGATTACTTTCCGGCACAGAGAACAGTTAAAGTGTTTATACTGAATTATCACATCATAGTAACACTTCTCACACCCTGGACATTGATAGAGGGTATAACTGCTCAGCCTCTGTACATCCCTGCTGGTCTGACCTGGAGGATTGGAGCGCCTGGGTACGCTCTGGGACTCCTCTGGTGGAGCGAACAGTTTAGAGGCCATCTTATTGGGTCTTCTTGATGCTGCAGCGTCGTCTTCATAGCCACCAAACAAGTTACTGGAGCCACCTCCGGGAGGCTGCAACACCCTGCAGGGGATGAAGTACAGCACCACTTTTAATAGGATCCTATCCAATGTATTCATCCCAGTCTCATTTAAATCAATTACCCCTGCAGCAGGTGTGACCTGGCAAAGACAGACTTAATGATGATGTAACGTTTTACTGGTTTACTCAATACTTGTCAGAGGATGTGGATCCCTGACAAATGTTATAAGTCACGGAGGTTCATGTATATTGATTACTGTGAGACACATTATGCTACTTTCGTACTACGTTGGCGAGTACAAAGGAGGGCAGTCTTTCACACTTCCGCAGCAGACAACGCCTGGTCGGTCGGTTAGCTTAAAAGCTAATTCTTGACTCTTAAAGTTTGCTAACGCGAGAAAACTCAAACCAAGCTAGCTCGAGCTGAGCAGTCACGAGCTTATCTCACTTATCACATCGCTCATTGCTAGTGTTAGGAAAGGTATTTAATGAAGGTAGTAGGAAAATAAGTTATGGTGCAAACAGCTACAAAGAGCTCCTGTCATGTAACGTTAACCTACATCGAGATAAGACGTTGACGGCCATTTCTCACAGAGATAACCAAGCTACACGGTAGTATTCTTTACCTGGAGCTTGGTTTAGTTCCAGTGTCCAACCCTTGAAACATGTTCGTCGAAGTCATAATTGTTTTTTTGTTTCCGAAGACAACTTCGTCAGTTTGCCAACTGGACGACCAGCAAGTTCCGCTGTCTGCGCGTGCCCAAAACTCCTGGTGAAGACTTTCAGATCCTCCCAACTGTGACACGGAGGAATATAACTGGTGCACTGACAATCTGCCGAGTAATGCTTGGTGCGCTCGTTTCTCGTTACCTGGTGCCCCTCCGGGAAAGTTTGATCACGGAATCCATTAGGTTTAAAGTCTTTTGAGACAAAACTTTTATTTGATTGCAATATTAATGAGGCCGTTGTATTTGTGTTGTATCTGTTAAACATGTAGTATATAAAAACAAAAAAACAAACAAAGGAAACTCCACCCTGCTGGTCGTTCACAGAGACCAAATCCGTGCACTGTTCTTGATATATGTCACTTGTTTTGTGACACCGGTGCGCCTGGTCTGAACAAAGGCAATGTGGGCCGAGTCTGAGATATTAACTAAAAATACGTGCAGATGCTATTGAATTAAAATCCCTTTGTACCACATTTTGTGTGCTTATTAACCGTCACGTTTGTATATCAGTGTTTCGTTTCCAGCCCTAAATATCAGATTCTGATTCCGTTTAGCCGGTCGTTCTCGGCGTACGCCAGGATAGACTACAAGCGCATTACTCTCTGTTTCACCTATTGATTTGATCGTCAAAATGCCAATCTCTTTCTGGGCGGGACTTATTTTTAAAGCGCCAAAAACCTACATTGTGTTGATCAAATGTTGTTGAAATAACGTTGTATTACGAGCAAACATGTTAGATTATTGAGGAGTCAAACTGGCTTTGAATTTTAAAAAAAGTTATTGGTAAACGTACACAGCATGACAGGAAGAGAATAGCAATTGGTCCAACGGCATAGTTGCTCTCACTAACAATTGGCGGAGCCGTCTGTCAATCAAATTCTAACGGTCGTCCTCGTGTATTTCTGACCAATCAGAGGATTTGTTTTCGAGTTGTAATGGGCGTGTCTAAACGCGTGCACAATCCAACCGCAGGAACTGTCACCGGTAACAAGCAACAAGCTGGACGGATGCCGTCAGCTAGCAGTGCTAGTCCGTGTCTCGATTATTAATACCACCAACAGGCTTCAACCTCAGGTAATTCTTAAACTTTCATTTGTGTTATCCATTTTACAAACTGTTTAAAGCTCAGCGTAAAACAATCATTATGTTACAAGCAGTTTTTGCCACGTTATGGCTTGTTTGAGTGCCGTAGCGCTAGCTAACCAACAACAGCATGCTAGGTACCACGTTCTATATGGAGCTATTGCGTGTATTTAATACAGCTTATTACAACGAAGTTAACGATAACTGTTAGTATAAATAACGTATCTATTATTAACTATCACCACATCGCACTCTTAGAGTGTTGTCACCCTTCTAGTATAAAAGCAGAGACAGTGGTTCGACAAAGGGAACTATAATCACTAGTCTGCTCGTACTATTAAGTTGTAAGGTCAATATTTAACTCTGTGAAATCAGTGTGATGCTGTAAGATTTTAGATCAACCTGAAGCAACATTAAAACAATAATTTGAGATTATGTGTGTTGTTTATATTATAGCTACATTCATCTATTGACACTACAATAACTTTGACGTTGTTAGATTCCAAGGAGCGAAAGTAAACATGAACAAACTTTACTAATAGTTCAGAGTTCTCACTGCTGTTAGATCAGTTATACATTGTGGCTGTTGGAATATGAGCGTTTGCATTAAGATGACTAAAAACAGGAGTTTAAAATCTGTGTGGGAATGTAGAAAGGGGGGCGTCCCTCATACTCAAACTGCTCATTTACACTTGATATTTCTTTATGTAGCTCTATCTTGCTGTCATCCCTCTGTGCTGTCACACTCCTGATTATTCAGAAAGAAATGGATTAGTAGATAATAATCGAGAAAATACAATGCTGCCATGTTTACACATTATAAATGTAAAGGTGTTGATGTGCACCGGCCACAGCCTGGTCCAGACAAAATGATTAGTATGTGTATGAGAAGATAGTAATGCAAGCAACTAGAGCATCGTCACAAAGCCTTATAATTGCAGGATGTATATGAAATACATTGTTTTGCAGACATAATTTCTGCATGCGATGGTGACGTAGTGACAAACAAAGTCCACTTGCGCACAGGTTAATACAACTATCTGTGCTTATCAATTCAGATGAGCTCCGCTGACATGTGCTACAGTAAAGTCCTATTCAGTGCATGCAGTAGATACATCTGATTTGTCAGTGTTTGTATAGTTTTAATTTATTTTTTGCAAAAATAAGCATTGAGTAAATGTTGCTGATAGAAAACAGTTGAACTGCGCAGAGTTCAGCTCAGTCGAAGCAGGAGCGAGTAGAGTGCAGAAAGCGGAGAGATCGCTCTCGGTTTTATTATGCTCCATTTGGACAGTAGTTGCCAATCTAACCGGTCGGACTCATGGTGAAAAGGAAGAAGACGTCGCCTACTAGCGAAGAGCACGACAATGGGTAAAAATATGTTTAAAATAAACACTTTATTTAGAGGTCGAATGCAGCGACGGGCTTCGTCGTCGTTTCTGCAGGGCGCTAAACTGAAAAGCGCTCGCATTTGAATTTAGTTGAAATTCAACCGACAATATTGGGCATTTGAGTCGAAAGACACTCAGTAAAACACCGCCGCCAGTTACTAAACTGTTTTGGTTGTTGAATGTAATTTATCTGAAGACGTTTAATGCATATATTTGGTGTTGTTTTGTCGGGACTGGAGAGGGGATTTGAAACAAACAGCGGCGGCCATGTTGAGAGACAGTGAACGTCGTCTCTAGAAGTTAATTTCACACACCGCTTTGCCCCTAATGTGACAAATGTTCCTTGATATGTGTGTTGGCAGCATGACACTGGGCTCCAGGGAGGGGATCGGTGTCGATGGGAGGACGAATCCGTCCAGAAAGCCCGAAGGTTGCGACGAGGAGGAGAGCGGAGAGCAGGCGAGCGAGGAGCGCAGTACAAAGGGAGACGACGGAGTGGAAATTCTTAATCCATCAACTACGGCTCTCAGCCCCGGTTCAGCTCCGGTTCTACCCGCCTCTCCGCAGAACCAACCCGGACTTGGCTCAACCCAGCATGCCCAGACCTCGGCGGAGCCCGCCCCTCCGTGTCACGACCAGCATCATTTTCTCCGATCGAGCGTCCGACCTCCGAGCAAGCGGATCCGGAAGGATTCAATCGGCTCGACTATCAATGGACACGGCGGGGCAAAATCGAAAGGTACTGGATGTTACCAGCTCAGAGAAAAGTGTGCATAGGTGGGATCAGCAGGGGGTCTGCCCTCAGTTGTCACTGTGGTTCCACTGTGTTTATCAGTGATGGCTAAACTGATGCTGGCTTTGTTGTTCTCCCTCCGGGACACCGGGTCGTACTCCGGGTCCAACCCAAGTTGTAGAACCATCCTGTGGACAATTTCTGTGAAACATCATAGAGTCACACAGACCACAACTTACATTTGCAATTACGTTTCAGTTAGTGTTTCTTGGAAACTTGCTGTTACGGGTTTACAAACACTGTTTTGAGTGTAGATAGAATAAATCAGTGTGTAAAGACTTCAGTGTGTCTGCATGGGAATGAGAGCAGCATCGTTATAGACAGTTGCTTGCACTTTTACTTTATTTTTTAATATTTTCAGCAAATAGAAAAACAGAGCAGACTGAGCTTATTGCCTTCAACTATTTAACTGATCCAACCAGGAGGTAAATTAGCATTTTTTAAGCATTTCCTCATTCAATGATTTTGTTTTTCACTTCCAGATTTTGTGAGGAATTATTATGGACTTGTTTCAGAGTGTATTATTATTCTGCTCTGTTGCTCTGTTTTTTTTCTATCCTGAAAATTGGCATCCAAAATGAGTGTGACTCTGATCAGACAGAACGTTTACAGTGTAGTGATGAGTTGGTCTGCTCTGGCAGGTATGACTAGTGCATTTCTATTATTGTTGTTAGAAAGAGACTCTGATTGTTTCATCAAATGTATATTTAGATTGTCCAGGTGTTGACCAAGGAAGCCCTACTTATTTTTGATATGTTGCTATATTGGTGCACATCTATTTTCAGAGAGACACATCTAGGTCAGTGCCTATGACCCACAGAGATTTGTAAATGAACTCCCATTTGTGCTGAAAATCGAAAGCAAAACAGCCTCTGCGGTTGTGTTCATGCGTCTGGCATTGTACTCTGTGCCGGGGTAAACACAGCCATCGGGGAGGCTCATCAGGAGTTGGTTTTGGACCCGTGTACTGTGGACCTGGCCGTAGGGACTGATTGCTTTTCCTGCCTCCTTGCCAGAGCTGAACCACAGAAGGATCAGCTCTGCAGGTTTGTGCAGTGTAGTTTCAGTGGGTGGCTTTGTGCCCATGCATTTTAAAATCTCCCAAAAAACCACAAACTACTATTTTTTTCTTTCCGTGCCATACAAAACAACTCGTGCGATGAACCAAAACATTTGTCTCAAATCTTACATCTTTGAGTCTCATACTGAAGTTGTATTTTTTCCCTGAATGTTTCATGACTGATGGCTCCTGTGTCTGTGTAACACAGGGGCAGAGAACGGCTCTTCCTCCCAGGGGACAGTGGGACAGTCGGGGCCAGTGGCCGGATCCACAGGGGGAGTGTCGAAGGCCTCCAAGGGCCAGGGGTCTGCTGAGAAGGAGGAGCAAGCTGGTAACCAGAAGAGGGCTCGTCGGCAGTGGGAGTCGTGGAGCACAGAGGACAAAAACAGCTTTTTTGAGGGCCTCTACGAGGTAAAGGGCGGAAGCAAATAGATTGTCATGTGGCACAACTTTAACTTTAAGTGTTGCGATTTATTTTTGACATCTTGTACTCAACTCTTAACTACTCCGGTCTCCAGCATGGGAAGGATTTTGAGGCCATCCAGAACAACATCGCAATGAAGTACAAGAAAAGAGGCAAGCCAGCCAACATGGTGAAGAACAAGGAGCAGGTTCGCCACTTCTACTACCGGACCTGGCACAAGATCTCCAAACACATCGACTTTGCCAATGGTGAGCTGCCCTTTATCTTTGTCAGCCAATAACAGGTGGGACCTGACGGAGTCTCAGTGAAGGTTTGAGGGAAGAACAGATTTTATTTCTAAGGGTTCAAGCTCCACATAACGTATTGTTTTACAATAATAACGTAACACTTATACCATCTCATCTTGACCCACTTATCCTGTTATGTCCATTACGAATGTAACATGGCAGTCGTATGTGTCCGGGGGTTGAAAAGAGCTGTTTATATTATTCAATCTGTATGTCATTTCTTCCTGTTTTTTTTTTTTTTTTTTTTTTTTTTTTTAAAAAACAATTCCTACACTGATGTTGAAACAGCATTTTGTTAGGTCGGTAAACTTTGTCCCAAAATGCATGTTAAAAAACCTCCAGATGAGCTTGAGCTGCTCTCCTCTTCAAAAAGCCCTCAGTGTCACGGTCGTGTTATCTCTGTGTAGCATGCACATGTTTCCTGAATTCCTGTTTACGGCACCGTTGTGACTCGTGCCACCTTTTCTCCTCAGTGTACTCCAGAGTGCTGAAGAAATCCTCTCAAGAACTGTACGGCCTCATCTGCTACGCCGAGCTCCGCAAAAAAGTTGGCGGTTGTAAGTGAAGGCTGTGTTTGAATGCATGACTTTGTGAATTTGTTTTGTGTGTGAGTGTTATACTGCTGTGTTAGTTTGGGGCACAAGGGATGCGATGAAACACTGCACCCTCCCAGTCATGGGGGACAGCTGCTCCTGAGGGACGATGTCATAAACAGCTCTGTGCTTTGTCTTTGACAGTAATGGACGATAAGAACGTGTCAAAGCTGAACGAACTAATCCAACAAGGGTAAGTCTGGAGTAAAATCAAAAAAGAAAATTGCACTGCCTACTCACACGGTTTTCAGTTTTTATGTTAAATAACACGGGCTCAACACAGAGATTATCATGCATGCAGTTTTTGATTTTATGTTCTACATCACAACACAGATACGCTTTCACCGTCCGTATGAGGACATGATGACATAAGTCAGAGAAACTTACATCAGCAGCAGGAACACTTATCATAATTAAATATGACCTACTGCATGGCTACGGCAACAGTTCTTGTACAATTGTAAAGCTTATTCTGTGACGTGTATGCGATTTCCCCAAAAAAAGTTTTCCTAAACATTAAAGCGTTCGCTGCTGTTCTGTGTGTTCGTCCAGGGCCACCACGGTGCGCTCCAAAGGGAGGAACCTGAGAATCAAAGCGCCTATGTGCCGAGCGCTGAAGAAACTCTGTGACCCAGATGGTGAGCGTGAATCACAGACCCACACACAGAGTACATACGTACGAAGTAAACAAACATCATCGCTGTAAATATAAACCACAGTGACGGTGAGGCACAGGGTTTTTGGGGGCGGGGTTTTGGCAATAACAATGGCAGCGTGTGGGCTAGTGTTGTTTCCATGGAAACACTGTGGGAGCCAAGTGAGGAGGAGGAGGAGGAGGAGGAAGATGATGGAGATGACAGGTCTGACCGACTAGCTTCTGCCCCTCTGTTAAAAAACAGCCACTCACTCAACTTAGTTGCATTGTCAGCTGTATTGTACTGTTCATGAAGTACGTTAGTGGCTCTTTAGGTTCAGTACATTGATGTTATTTCTGCTCTGTGTTATACCTTCATACTGTCGCACGCTGACTCTTGCTCTTTAAAAACACCTTTTCTCCCGTGAGATCTTTGTTGGTGTTTCTCATTCAGTCTCATTGTGTCTTTGCGTCCTTTCAGGAGTGAGTGACGAGGAGGACCAGAAGCCAGTGCGTCTGCCCCTGAAGGTGGCAGTGGAGCTCCAGCCTCGCAGTAACCACTCCTGGGCCCGCGTTCAGAGTCTCGCCCACAACCCTCGCCTCAGGTCAGGCATGCCTGTTAACTGATGCCTGAGTCTATTACCAACAAACACAATCGATTTGTTCATAATTTAGTCCAAAGCAGAACTTGGAATTCATTTTTAGTTGCTCGTTTGATGCATGTTGGCAACTGAAGGACGACAAAAATAAAACATAAGAACAAAATCTTGTGTTTGCTTTGGAAAATAGTCAGCATAAATCCTGAGTATATTGTACAGTATGTTTTAAGTTTCCCGGATCAATAAAGTGAATCTATATTCTCCTTTTTGTATTAATTTAGTGTGGGACCTAAAAGTGCTTTATGTGTTATGAGCAGAACAACTAAATCACCCAGCCCGGTGCGGTTCTGCACCATGTTACCACGGCAGCTTGTAAATCAACACTTATCTCTTTCTGTCTTTTCCATAACAGGATGGTGGTGGAGCTCCACAGGAAAGTCTCCAGCCTGATTGATTATCTGAAACAGAAGTGGGCGTACCAGGACCAGCGGATTGTATCCTTTTAAAACCTCATATGATTTTTAGAGCAGTATTGATTGCATTGCAGTTTAGAAAAATGTACGAGAGCGCAAGTCTGTGATACAAGCTTGACATGTGACAGTGGAGCAGAGCGCTTCAGCAGTAGATATCTGTGAACTGTAAACATGCCTCTTTCTGTCATTCATGTGTGAGACCTTGACACTGGACGCTTCAGCTGAAGAGCCTCATGGAGAGGGAGGCTCTGGAGGTCGGCCCATCCAGCACAGCCTCTCCCAGCAAATTCCAGCAGGACGATCTCTTTCTTTACCCCGCTGAGAGCAGCACTTTGACCACACTGCCTGGCGTGGCACGTGTCGTGCACTCCAAGGCCTCCTGCACTGTACACTGGCTAGAAAGTGGCAAGAACCGGCCTAATGCCAAGGAGTTGCCCGCTGCTCAGATTCTGGGTATTCACACGGCTCCACCACTTCGGACTGGCCCTAAATCTGGACGGGGGGGCGCCGCCGCCACCGCCGGTGCTTCAGTGACTGGGTTGTGTGATAGTCGACGAACTGAGCCCCTTAACCCTGAGCCTTCACAAGACTGCTCTACAAAGGTAGAGGAGAAGAGACCTCAGTCTGTTTCTGTCCCCGCTTCCTCTCTGCAGACTGTGGCTCTTAGGGAAGAGGGAACTGGGATAGGACCCTCTGAAGGGGGGAAGATCTCTACTGGTGTGAAGGCCAGTAGTGGTTTAGCAGTGACCAAAAGCATTGAGAAGTTGTGTAGTGTTACAGAAAGCCCATCTGAGCCATGCATTGAGGAGCAGAACACCAGCACTTCCTCCCCAGAGGCCCACCAGACTCCGCCAGCCAAACCTCCAGTCACTGGCTCCGAGGAGGGAATGTCGCAGGGCTCTGCACCGGCAGCCAAGGAACGGGCTGTCGAGCAGATCAGAGGGGAGGGCTGGAGCGCGCGGGACGCCGAGAACGTCACCCTGGCTGAGCTCTACCTGATGTTCGGGAAGCCCGGCAAGCTGCTGCTGGAGTACGAGTGGCAGCCCATTGCGGTTCCTTTCAACAACCAAGAAAACGGACAAGCCCAGCTCAAGCCCATCAGGACACAACACGTTCTGCGCTGCCTGCTCAAGCTGGTTGCCACTGAGGTCAATCCTAAACCTTTGGTAGGGATTAACTGTTACTTCTTACTATATTGTTTCCAGTTGCCAGATATCCATTTTATCCTGTATTTAAAAAAAAAAAAAAAAAACATCTGAATGTCACGATTATTTGTGAAGATTTGTTGCAGGAGGTGTCTATAATGTATCTCCTCCTCCAGGCTCCAGAGCTGTGCTCCACTGCTCCATCCCCACACAAGACTCATCAAGAGGAGCAAAACCAGGCCCTTACACCTCCAGGGAAGGGCCCCATAGCAGGTGTTCGCAGCCCCAGCTGTGGCCGGCAGCAGGCCTCTGTCCGAGGGGCCCGGCTACACCTGCCAACTGCCGGAGTCTCAGGTATTCAAGCAGGTATTCAAATGAACGCAAAGAATCGCTGGATGCTGTTCAATGGTTTTCTTCATTATCCTCACATGACATCTCTTACCTGTTTCTCCCCTCTTAAGGTGGACGTAACCTCCCCCGCTCTCTGCTGGGGTCGACGGCGGGCAGCGACGCAGAAAGCAGTGTGTTTGCGGTTCCCACCACGCTGCCCCCTAACAGCTCGCGGCACAACAGAATGTTTTCCCCCAACAAGGAAGCAGAGCTAGCCCTCAAACAGCAGCTCGACTCTATCAGTGTAAGGCTGGGCAATGCAGTATTTTTTACACCAATTGTACAACTGACTAAATCGGTACATCGTCCACACGCACAAATGTTAATGTGCTCTGTTTTGTTTTTCCAGATGCAGTCAGATCTTTTCCTTTCAAGACAGAGAAAACCTCGAAACAGACAACTCCGGAAACCACTTGTAGTTCAGGTAAGAGAAGAACAGAAAGGTGTTTTACTTTATCTATTCTGTTGTATCGCAATGAACACCAACACGTCTCCAACTTATAGTGTTGTGGAATTGGTTGACTATTTGTACTGTAAATGTCATTTTAGTGCTTCTCTGTGCATTTAGTTCAGTTGCTTCTGTCTCATCCACAGCGAACACTTCTACCGCGAACGACAGGAGACACTCCTCAGCATGTCTGCTCCTTCTCCATCCTCTCCAACTCCTCTGCCACAGGTACTCCTCAGACATCCTGATCCTACAGTACACGTTACTGTCAGCAGAAGATCGACATGTTTCAATTATTATACTTTTCCCTGCAGTGTAGTATAAAACTGCCAGACTTGTGTTCTTGACAGTAGGTCCTTGAAAGTCCAACATGCTCTTTGTACATAACAAAATGTCATTTCTCATTTTCAACAACCATTCTGCTAATCTCCCGCCCTCTCACTTCCTGTTTCTTCCCTCAGGAACTGGATCTTTCCGGCCAATCCACACTCGCCTGGCTCCTTCCTCCCGCCCCCTCCTGTCCAAAGCTTCCCCTTCAGCATCCAGCTCTGCAGCCGCCAGCCAGCTCTCCAGTATGTTGTTTTCATTATTTCATCTATTTTCAAACTAAATTCTAGATGCAGTATAATTCATGTTGTATTAGTTTAAACTTTTCTTGTCCTCTTATGACATGGCTCCTTCACTTAATGCGCTCAACAAGACTACTAAAATATTAATCCATGCAAAGACATTTTTTGACCTCCACATTGTGAGTCGGTTGGATTTTTTACAGTTTGTATACTTTTGTTCTGCCATCTCAGAGTCCTAGTTAAGATATAGTCTTTCCTTTTGTAGGATTATGTTACTTTTGTGTAAGACGCTGTGAATTCTCTGGATTTTTATACAAAATTGAGTTCGTTTGAAATGAAAAGGATTTAGTTGTTAACTCCCACATGATCTCTGACAGTCGATGTGGTTTGAACAAACACTCCTTTGTGCCGGAGTAAAAAGACAAAAAGAACATTCTTCCAGCTCCTCACTGTTCTCTCATGTTTTCCCTTTTTTATGTTCACATTGTTGCTGAGTTTACTCTTTTTTTTGGTGCATCCCCCACATGCTCAGTTGCTATTGATACTTGTCAGGTACAGTGCTGATGTGTTTTTAAACTGTTGCTTCTCTCTCAGGTGCCATTGGCCTGGCTGCTAAGTCTGCAGGTATCATCCCCGGCAGTCCCCATCGGGAGCTGAATTCTCCCGCTGTTGATAACGGCTCCCTGCTCCACACCGCACCCGCTGTCGATGCTGAACCAGACGCTCGACTCCTCCAGCACAATGCCCCAGAGGTCAGCAGCACACACTTACATACACAAACTGACACACAGATGAGTACTTTATAACTACTTTACTGTGAGGGTGAAGAAGGACTCCATTGACGAAGGCCACAGAATAGTATTGCCTGTGTGTGCAGGCCCTATTCACAGGTAGTGGTACAAGAATACGATGATTGCTGACTGCAGTTATTAGTGTAACAGACAATAAGATACTGATGTTGAGTCGGACCCCAGGCTTGGTCCTCGCTAGCTGGGTAGAAAACACATGCATGTTGCTCTGAAAACTCATCTTTTGAGGAAATAAAACCTTAAAAAAATCTAACAAAGCAGCCCCAATAAGTGTTCAACTTGTTCCTTTTACAGAATGGTCACCCTCCACCTCCTGGACAGACTGGTGGCGGGAACTCTCTCCTCCCTCCGCCCAGCGTGGCCTCGCTCCTGGACATCTCTCTCCCCGGCCCCCCTGAAGAGGCTCTAGCCCCCGGAGAAACCCAGACACACATCAGTGACTCCCTCATCGAGCTCGCCATCAACTCTGCCCACTACGGTGTGTGCGGGTTTCTATCCTATATGCTAACATTACATTAGTTTGCATTATGTTGACGTGCAACCAACTATCTCAGTTCTGAGAGGCTCACTGAGCACTGTGTGCGATCTAATGGCGGTTTGCCTGTTATGCTGCAGGCGAGGAGGCCGCTCTCTCTCCAGCCAAGCTGAGCAACAACGACGGCTCCAAACTGTTGGCCTCGTCTCCCTCAGTCAGCCCGTCCAGAGGCTGGATCCCGTCGCCCAGCCACGACCCCCAGTGGTACCCCAGCGACTCATCTGACTCCGCACTGGGATGCCTCCTCTGTGAGTCTTTTTCTCTCCTCCATAATTAAAAACAAGCACATACTAGTACAGATCTTCTTTGTAGCTCTGCTGAACACTGCTGTGTGTTTCCTAACCAAAGAGTTGATACTAGAAATGACAGTTAAAGCTTGAGAGGGACAAACAGACTGATCTTTAACGTCAGACAGATTCACAAAAGAACAACTAAAGTAACACATTTTAACACTTTTATTCTCTTATTAATGCACAATAACACCGACACACCTGTGGACTTCCTCTTGCAGCGATGTCCCATAAAGAGGACGTTGTTTCCACTCTGTCCCTTTTATTCACGGTCCATCTCTTTTCCCTCCAGCCAGCATGGTCTCTCCTGATAAGGGCAAGCGGACCACCCTAACCCCCTCCGGCCCCTCCAGCGGCACAGCTTTGCTTGGTCCCAGTCTCCTGGACTGCAACTCCCATGATTCCTTTCAGTCCCGTGGCCTTCCTGATGCGGCAGAGGTACGTTCTTAGTATTGAGTCTTTTACAAAATAGCTAATTTGCTATTCTTTTTCAGTTGAACACTCTGCCAGTCTAAAAATTGGCTTCCTTGAAAATAGTTTGACCTTTTTGGAAAATAGTTAAATTCACATTCTTGAGTGAGATGAGAAGATTGACACCACTGTCATACATTAAGCTACAGCCAGCTTAGCTCTGCATTAAGACTGCAAACAGTCAGCCTGGCTCAGTCCAATGGTAACAAAGTCCATCAAACTATTCTTTTATTCCAGACGTCCCTGGAGGGAAAGAAAAGTGGATTTGAATCTCTTTTCATTTGTCTTAGCTGCTGCTCAGGCTGTTGTCATTACTGTACATTGAAAGCTCTTTGGTTGTGCTCGCAGATGGACTCTCAGCTTGCTTGTATGATGAGTGAGAGCAGCGTGGACTACATTGCTCGCTTCAATGACCTGGCTCAGGAGCTGGCAGTGACTGAGCCCTCCATCCCACCACCCTGAGGTGGAGAGGACCCACGGCCATCTGGAGGACATGAGTTTGTCTCCTCGCCGTCCCCTCTACTTTGGAGAAAAGACGCTCCCCCTCCCCCCCGCCCTGTTTGTAAAAGTGCAATAATAACAGTGAACCTTGACCTTTGTTCAAAGCGAGTTGGAAACTTGTTGGTTTCACTGAGCTGTTCTTTGAATTGAAACGCCCTTTAAAAACAAACACTTTAGAAAAACAAATGCGTTTACAAAACACGACCTCATGTACAGGAAAATACTATGCCATATTTGAACAATAATATTTTGACTGATCTTGTATGTCTCTTCCTGCTCTTTGTTGTGTTGTTGTCCGTCTTCTATTCTCTCAGATTAAACCCACAAAATGTGTAGTTCAGATCCCGATTGCTGGAGGGTGGTTTAGACAGTAATGGTGGTGAGAAGGGCTTGAATGTGGCGAGATACTTGTTTCTATTCCGTAGTTATTGTGGCCTCGGTTGGAAAAGTCGAGTACGACACAGCGGGTAAAGTAGGAACTACTGCCCTCCTTTTCACAGGCTTTTGATCAGTTCAGGTTTTATTGGATGCATTTTTAGGAACGTAGCCTGCCGCGCGTGTTTGGAATCAGGTCTGTCATTCCTCACGGTCAAATGTTACATGCAAAATGGCAGCTTTTGTTGGTTGACTTTACTACTTCTCTTGAAATCACATTGGAGTTGCAGATTATCTTTTTTTTAATGTATGTTTTTAATGTATGTTGAGATGATAATAGCGATGCAATGCTCTTCAAGGTTGGTTTGTTATTGCGTAAAAACAGGTCGACATTTAATTTTGATATTTTTAATAACCTTGTCATAGTTTGGAGTAGTTTTACTTTAGCTCTCTTGCTGGTATCAAAGAAGCGAGTCGAGCGTTTAAACCCAGAATGTGATCGACCACGTTTTCATTTTTATTGACTGGGAACCATTGAAAGTTCCCAGTAGTGTTGCACTCTGTTTCAACTCCACAACAGCGAGCAGTAACAAGTATGGAATGATATTAAACACTAAAGCCATAGTTTTGAGCTTTTTTTTTAAGTAGTGATCTTTAACCAGTAAAACCTGATTGGTTGTGTTCAAAACATTAAAACTCCTCCATTGACTCGATCCTAACGAAACACTCTCCATGTGGCGAGGTTAGAGGTAAATGGATGCTTTTAAGTGCTTTCCCCATCACAGCAAACACACACCTACCGCATACTCATTGCATCCAGATTGTTTCTGAATTTTTAATCAACCAGCATCATCAATATGCAGTATTGTGAACATTTTGTCTCGACAATGTGTTTAACTTCATCTCCGAGTGTAAATTGTAGGAGAGCTCTTATCATCATTCCACAAATGGGATTTTAAATGTTTGTCTCCGAGCACCTTGAGGGCTTTGACTCGACAAAGTAAAAGCTCTCGTGATGTTTACTCATCTTCACACACTAGATACAATGAAGATGACTCTTAATGAGGAATAAACAGCAGGTTTTTCTTTGAATCTGGCATGTTTTTTTTGTTTTTTTTAATCTTTGCTGAAGGATTTATTTGTACAAATGTCAATTAACTTCACTGCGCTTTTGTAACATAACGTGAATTGTTTGGATTATTTATTTTTAACATTTCAGAATTTTTTTTTTTGTCTAACTTAATATTAAGAAAGTGAAACTTAAAGTTTTCAGTTTGTAAAATGTGTTTTTATTCTGTGTATAAAGATGGTTATAAAAACCTGCTTGTTTGTTTTATTCATTTGTGTACTTTGTGCTAAAAACAGTTCAAATGCAAACTTTTAAATATTAGTATGTGGCCTTTGGGTTTTTACCAACAGAGAGTGGAGTGGTGTCTCTGCTGAACCGCTACTGAATACATTCTCACTCATCAAATCAGCTCATTTAATTAACAAGAATATACTGAACGGAAATATAAAACACCATTTCACAGTTAGTAAATGGAAACATTCCAAATGTGTCCCAGTTTATTTCCTGCTGCACTGTATGAGAATAACATCAGCTGACGGGATGTAAATATGGACCAAGCTGTTGCCTAACGGACCACAAAAAACACTACTTGACAGCGATAAGCAGCATTTCCTTCCTCTACGTGTATTAAAAGCACTTTGTTTACAGTGGCGTGGACTGTATGCCACACGGTACCGGTGACCCACAAACAACATGCCAGGTGCTGGACCACGTCTCCAGGACAGACATGAGATTGTTGACAAAAAGTGCTTTTTTCCCCTCCCATCTTCACTTGCAACAACAAACAATACTGTGATCAAGTCCTGCACTTTGGTGGATTAAGTAGTTTTCATATACTTGTTTCTGTTGTTTAGATGGACTGCAGTTCAGTGTCATGTTCACCAATTAAATCTCATCTGTTCTCTTTTTTTTCCGTCATTCAAATTTGATACTGAAGGCTTTTTAGATAACAGCTGACGACCTGGACGATATGTCCCAGACCTGACAGAATTACAAATTAAACGTCAATATTCCTGCAAATAGGTAACAAATTGTCAATTTGTCAATAACAGACGTTCCACTTTTAAACAGTGATTTCTGAGAACAAAGTGAAGTCCTGTCTGGTCAATGTCAGGTGTTAATCAAAACAAACTCCACATAGGTGCTGTTACAACATACAGGTTTCTGGTTTGTGTAACTGAGGAGCTTCATCTACTCACACCTCTGGCTCATCTGGCCTCCGTGTGAAGCAGTAACTGTCGTGTTTTTGGTCCATGTGCCTCTTAACGTGCGCTGTGAGCCTCGTGGTCCTCACCTGCTGCAGCGTCACTCGTCTTTGGGTTTCTGCTCCTTGCGAGCGCGAGAGGACATGAGTTTGAAGAAGAGTGCCGGCCACATCGTGCGGAGGTAAATGGCCACGCTGGGCAGAGGTCCTGCCAAAACCACGTCTTTGCTCCTGTGACGGACAGCCTTCAGAACAGCCTGAGCCACATCTCTGGGGTCCCAACCCGTCGCTGTGCTTTTATCCAAAACTGAAAACAAGTGTTGCACAAACAAGAGAGATCAATGATACCAGGGAGTCAATAGGTCAACTATTACAGAAAACAATTATATTGCTGGGAATGTGTCCCTTCTCTTTTGTTTCATAGCTTATTTTATCTTATATTTAAGCTTATAAATGAATATTTTTAGCCTTTTTATGTCTCTTTGTCATCTTTACTGATAATCGTCACACACACACACACCTCCGTACTTGGAGCCGTCTCCTGTGACAGCGTTGACCGACAGGCTGGTTCGAATGTACCCGGGACTGATCACGGTCACTGGGATCCCGTAGTGCTCGATCTCGGCCCGTAAGCAGTCAAAGTAGGCCTGGGTGGCGTGCTTTGAGGCGGCATCTGACCAAAGCGAGTAAAAACCAGAGTCCTGCTTCATTTCCAATCAAAAAACTCTTGTGTAGTTGTTTGCTTTGATGAAACGAGTGGAGACAACTTACAGGCGGATCTGTAAGGAATGGCTATCTTGCCCTGGACACTGCTGATGACAACGATGTGGCCGCTGCGTCGATGAACCATGGAGGGCAGGAGAGCTGTGAAGGGAGGAAAGAAGAAAGAAAGAGAAACAGCTGACTAAGGTAAAATATTGTGCTTCCTCTTCTGGGAAAATCTAGCTCTGTAATGTTTATGCTTCAACTACTTTTCTTCCTTATTTCAATTCAAGATCCTTTAAATAACTTCTGTATGGTTTGGCTCCCTCGTGTATTTATAACTTTGTAACTCACTAACCTTGAGTAAGAGCAATGGACCCAAAGTAATTTGTTTCCATAACATCCCGCTGAACTGAAAGGTGGGTATCCAGTATGTTGCCGCGATAACTGATTCCAGCATTATTGATGAGGACGTCCACTCGCCCGTAACACTTCAGGATCTCCTCTGCAGCTCGGTCCACTGTGTCTGTGTCGGACAAGTCGAAGACGACGGTGCTGGGAGTGTAAGTCTGGTGGTTGTAAAACACGTTATCGTTGTATTTAAATACGTCTTGCTGTAAAAAACAATTGCCCGACAGCGGCAAAAGTAAAGTTGACCGTTGAAGTTGACCTTAAGTTTATGTCAGGGCTACACACCTGTGTACACACCTGTGGTCGTGAGCTTGTTGAACTTGCTGTGAGCTCCTGGACCACCTGCTGCAGGCGGGCTGCATCGCGTCCACACAGCACCAGCCGGGCGCCTGCAGCGTGAAAGACCCGAGCACACTCTACAAAACATAAAAAACACACCTGTTGTTCATGGTGGATATCAAACCAGGCCGGCAAGTTAGCACATGCACCACGACACTGACACACGTTACTGTACGTTATCTTACTACCACCGAAGCGAAATCTACTGCTATACATCGATGTTACTTGGTTTGCAGAAACATCTACATGTAAGCTGAAGAGAAGAAGAAATGGAGGCCGACCTTTCCCGAGTCCAGAGCTGGCCCCTGTGATGACCACCACAGCGTCCTGCAGAGCCGCTCCTGGTCTGAGGCGGACAAGTATTCGATAAAGAAACAAGATCCCCGCACTTACTAAAACCAGCTGAAGAACTCCTCCTCCCATGACGCGCTCCATGTCTGACAATCACCCGGCCTGCAGACACGAGATCAAAAAAGATTTGTTTCGGAAGAGTTTCAATCAGTTGCTCCTGTACAGAGAAGTCACCCAACAGAGGTCTGTTTAAAACAGCACATTTTCACACAATACGTCTCTCGCATGACAAATGAACCAACAGCTAACAAGCAAAAAGTGATTCCTGTGCTCCATCAATGATGAATGATTAGTTAATCAATGGGAATTTAATTGCAGCTATTGGCTATTAAAATGTCAAGTTTTGGATAAATATTTTATTAGCTGAACTTCAGACTAAGTAAGAGATTTAAAGACATGACTCTGGTAACTCGTCATAACAATTTGTAGGCTGAATGATATATTGTTTAAAAAATACTGTAAAGCATATTTGATCATGAAAACCATTCCTTGTTGTAGTGCTGGTCTTTACTTCATAAACAAATAGAAAAGAAGAATAAAAACACCATAAAGGGCTTTAAACAAGTCAGTGTGACATTGTGTGTGTGTTCTGTCAGCTCTCAAGCCCCCATGCAGATTTATTGTGAATGTTTTAATGTGAAGTGCTTTTAACTAAGCCTCTTCCACTTGACCCGTCTCCAAAACACAACACAAACAACCAGCATGGCAACAGTGACAACTACCACCAAATAATAAGCACATGCGCACGCACACACCCCACACACACACACACACACACACACACACACACACACACACACACACAGGAAAAACAGTATAGTTTGAATATTTGTTCTTGTGTGTGCTTTATATGTACATATTCATGATTGTGAGCATAATGACTCAAGAACTAGACATTAAATGAACTTCATACTTACAGTTTTTATAAATTGCTAACATCATTGGTCAATACTGAAGACACTTTTTCAAAACACTTCATAGAGTCTGCATTACCAACATGCATCTTAGCCAAACAGTCAATCTCACCTACAAAATTTCCAACAATATCCTGTATTTTTCTAAATCCTTGCATATAGTAATTTACTTCTGCAAAATAAAGATTTGAAACAAAAAACAAAATCCTGAAATTCCAAATCTCTCAAAGAGAAAGAATGGTTTACAACAAGGTTAATAATTGTGCCCTATCTCATCAGAGACAACTGTTATTATATATTTCAATATATAATAATATATATATATATACGTGCCATCATTCTGTTTTGAAAGTTTTTCTAACAGTTTTGAAAACAGTGTGTTAGCATTTAAAAAATGTGCAACAAATAAATCGTGTTTTGCAGGTATTGGAGTATGAATGAGAAAAGAGTTCATGGATTTTTGGAAAATGTGGTTATTGAATGTAATTTGTGTGAAAGCAATGATAACCGATTCAAAGTTTGGTCGCATAGACTTCTGTTTCACTGACTGAGTGAAGAGTAAACCACAGGCTCCCCAGAGTATGACATCTGATTACATCTGCATATATACGCTTACTAACCATGACGTTAATTAGCAGGTTAATTTAGACGCTAGTTTAGAAGTGACAACAATGCGTGCACAACGAGGATTGGCAGATACTGCACAGACAAGCTAGCCGTGTGTAACTCATACGTGAACGGCTGGGCATGCTAATGCTAACGTTGACTAGCTTCTGCATTGTAATAAAACATTGATTATACACCAGCGTTCATGAATAGTTAGAGCTCACCTTGTTGTTGCTCTACTGTACAACACGGCGGCTAAAGGCGTCGGTACGAGCACTTCCGGGCTCGTCTGACAGGGACCCCACGTGCCGTACCAACGACCGTCTGTGTCACCCGCTAGGGATTGTGGGAGCTGGAGTTCGGTAAGACAGTAGGCTGACTGAGCGAGCACGATTGGGCTTGCCCATTTCTGTGTTTATCAGACACATATTCGTTGTCCAGGTTGGACATTGTAGGACAAAATAAGCAGCCAAATAAACCTAGACCTTTATTTTTAACCACGAAGACAAGACTTTGATTATCAAAGACAGTTTTTAAACTATTTGGGAATGTCTGGGCTGTTTTATATGGAAGCCCATTTCATTTCCGCAAGCAAAAAGAAAAAAAAAAAATCACAAAAAAAGAATTCTAATTATTATTTTTTATTTTTTGGCTGGTGGAAATTTTTTTTAAAAAAAGCTGACTTTTTTCACCCTGACAAAAAAAAAAAGATTTACATTTTTTTATGCTGGCGGGAAAAAAAAATTCTTTTTTTAAACTTTTTTTCTGCCAGCAAGAAAAAAATAAAAAAAAAGTTCCAGTTGCTGTTTATTGAAGGGCGCCGCCTCAGCCACCTTGGGTTTTATTCTTTATACTCCAGAGCTGCTTCTTGCTTAAAATTCTATTCAAGGGTGCGTTTGCTCAGTACAATCCATGTGAAACATCAAGCAATTCAAGTATTTCATGTGTTGTAAAGCCACGTATAAAGAAGTCTTCAATGTACTCACAGTACATTTATATGTCAAATGTAGAGTGACCTATGAAGAGCTGCTTCTATGACTCATCATTTCGAATTTCTATAGCAACTGGAAACATCTGGTCAGTGTTTTGGTTACAGATGGATGCACCAAAAGTGTTGGTGCATTTTTTTTATGGTGGTAGAAAAAAAAAAAAAAAAGTTATTTTTTTTAGTTTTTTTCTGCCAGCAAAAAAATAATTAGAATTTTTTTTTTTTTGGGGTGGACCTTTTTTTTGTGACTTTTTTTTTTTTGCCTGTGGAAATGGGCTTCCAAAGAAAACAATCTGATTTGGGTCTACGAGTGAAACATTGGACAAACATGATTATTCATGTGTGCAGTTTATCAAGAGAAAGTCTTGAATTATTCTAGGGCATCCTGAAAGGAGACAACATCTGGGTAACAACTGGAGAAGGGGCTGGGCAGCATTATGCCACCAGACCTTAAAACATGTGACAGCCAGTCCATCATTCAGCGCTCCTGCCAGCTGACAGATAATTAGCCTGCTCTGGTCACGAATCAGTGAGTTAAGTCTCAGGCCACCCTCTGCTTTAGTTCTGCTCAACCCATGAAAGTGTATGTGAGGTGAAAGGAAAATTAAATTGGAAAAATGTGCCTACTCTGCACTACTTTTTTTCAGTTGCAAATTGTGCAAGACGTAGCAGCAAGTCGATGTGAAAAGAAGAGCTGGGCAAAGGTTGCAAAGTCAATCTTCTGTGTTGTCCAATGTGTTGCTTTCATACACCGTCTTAAGCTTTGCCTGTAAGCACTATTTACCAAGTTAAACAATAGCATCTGGTTTTCAGCCACTGTCCGTCTAAACGTGTTAAAAATATCCTGTCAGAAATTGACAAAATATTGTGAAGTGAAGACCTTCACCCGTTTGTGATAGACTGCCGTCGATCACAGTTGTTTGTTGGCATAATGTGTGATCACAGTACACACTAAAACACCACAAGCAAGTTTACAATTTATTTAATACATTGTTTGATAGAGCTTTAAGGGATTTACACAAAATTCTTAGGAAACTTTTAATTAACATGTTTAAATCCTGCTGGCGAAGTCAACAATCCTTCTTCAGCTTGTAGTGGACATTTATACGTATAGTTTGAATCAGTGACCCTGACAACGTCAGTCTCCATATTCAACTAGTTCACATCCGAATTCCACTTTATTAAATCTTTACAAGTCTCCTGTTATATCACAACTCATTCTCCACTTTTACCTTCTTCTATGACCCCAAATTTTAAAACTGCTGATCGAGACAGCAAAGCATAACAAGCACCATGAGATAAACATACACAAGAATGAATGAATTTATAATTTGATGTGCAATTATCTGTAATGTCAAATCGTGTTTGTATTTTTAAATTTAACTATGAGGGTTTGGCTTGATGTCAATGTAATATACATTATTAGAAGCATGTGTAAAATGTGACTTTTCAAAAGTAAGTATTTTTGTAGTGTTTCAAAAAGACATTGAGCCACAGCATCGTCACATACAATCTTTCTTACACTCTCTTGAAACAAGAATATCTACATGAACAAGACACACTCTCAAATAAGTTGCAACTACTTGCTCGTTTCTGAACATCATGTAGAATTTAATGAAAAAAAGTCAAATAAAATACAGAAAAGTTAGTTTGAAATATCCTAACGTTTAATGAAAGGGTGATGTACTGATCAGCAAGAAGGGGGGGGGGGGGTAACAGTAAAACTACGAGGGAAAGGGGAGCGAGCTCGATACCCAAAACATGTCGGTCCGTTACTGCAGAACAATTCAATCCAGAGGAGCTGCTGTCGTACCCTTGAGCACTTGCTTGTGTGTCAAGGATGCAGGTGGAGGGCGCAGGGGAGGACGCGCAAGGGTACTACGGATATAAGTGTGCCGTTGTTGTCACATAGAAGTAAAGAAAATGTAAAGGAAAAAACAATTCCTTCTGGTTTTAACTATATCCCTCTGATCAAAGTTCAAAATGGAAGCACCCACCACGTGTGGGGCTAACTGCTGGGCCTGATCGGGACTTCCACTTTTCTTACATCTGGGGGGGATAGGCTCTGTTTTTTTGTTTGGTTTTTCCTTTATTTTTCTGTTGGTTCTTAAACCCTCTTCAGAGTGCACTCATACCGCATAGAGTTCGTAGATCTTCTTGGCGCAATATGCCAGGGCAGCCAGTGCTATCGTGTTATGGAGTCTCTTTCTGTGGACGTCATCCCTGCGTACCAATACAACGGGCGTCGAGGAGGTGAGTGTATGCAGGGGCAGCCGCGAGAGTTTTTGGCTGTCGTACTCCACCTGGTACTTGCAGCAGGGGTCAAATTGCCATGAAATCCCGTAGAGGGCAGCACAGGCCAAGCTGAAGGCGCCAGCGGGCAGCGCCACATAACGCGAGTACTCAATGGGAAGTGAAAGGGGCGTCAGGAGGCAAGCGGTACCGGACAACACGGCCGTCTTGTGCAGGCAGTTGCCCACGCTAATCCACCGGGCCGTCTCATCTCCGATGCGCGTGGGCTCAATGACAATGTATTTATACTGGGCCTCCAGTGCCTGCTCCAACTCGTACTCAAACTGGTCCTGCACATTCTCCCCATTGTAGATCTCGTGCACAATGTAGCAGTCTGTCGCCGCCATCACTCCCCTGTTCAGAAACAGACATACGGCAAAGAACAGTGAGAGAACAGATACAGAGAACAACTAGACTCGATGCATCCAAGACTGGTTTGTCTTCATTTTTACATCAACCCGCCCCTTTTTTCAAGAGCCTGTGAATATTTTTTGCCTTCAATGGCTCAGACAAAGATTCCCAGATGGGTATTTTACCCAAATATTTTCTCAATTGAAATTCCACAAGGTTTACCATATCACAACATATATGTGCATACCATTACCATAATAACTAGCATGTAATCTGTAAGATGCATTTATAAATTACATCTTTGGTTTAAGTAAAAAACATGACAGACGTCTTCTTCTATTTGAAAGGTAGGATTTAAGTGTAGGATTAAATGTTAATTTGTTGCCATCAATCAGCACTAAAATGGTACATACACTCCAACTGTATAACTATTCAATTACAAACAATCTCCATGACCAATAACATTTAGTTCAAATGGTAAATTCTCGATGGTCTATAAACTCAAGGATGAGTGTGCAGTTTTACATGAGCTCATTTGTATTCTTTATTACAAAATATTCTTATTCTATACTTAGTTTGCAGAAACATTTTTGCTACATGTTGTTTTCCATCAATTCATAAAATGTCGTTTTCAGAAAACTGTCAACAAAAAAAATTTGTCTGACCAACAGCTAAAAGTGTGAAATATTAAATTACACATAAAACGCAACAACAACTTTTTTTTATATGGACAAATTAATGATGTCCGTAAACTAGTTTCCGTGTAATTGATTAATCGAATAATCTATTCTGTAAACTGATATTTTCCGGGTTATTTAAACATTATCTTTGAATATGACAAACACACATGTGTGCGAGTGTCAACTCTCCGAGGCCTTCAGTACAAGTTGACAAGATGGCAAACAGCCCTCACGACTCACCTACCTAGTTAAGGCTAGACACCGAGTTCATTGGGGTCCAGAGACAGCGGGCATTGGCTCAATGAGTATTAGATACCAATGAAAATCAATCTGGGATCACAGTTCAGGGGACACAATGTACCTGAGCGTCGGTTAGATAACACGAACAGCTAACACGCTCACATGGTGAAAAGTTGGAGGACTGGCCAGCTAAGTTAAGGACCGTTTTACTTTCTAAACAGGTCGACAAACACAGCGGACAACACTTAAATCAGGGACGTGTAGCACGTGAGCCATAGCGTATTACAACAGTGCTCGCACGCACGAGCTGTTAAACACGTTTTTTGTCCCACGGTTATATCGGCTGGTGTGAAATAACCAAAACATCACATGCTAGTTTGTTTCCTTGCTATTGTCAGCTAGCTGTGCACGTTAGCCTGCTAATGTTAGCTAACCCTGGGACAAAATTCCGACTTGTCGCTGTTGCCATTTAACTTTCAGACCCGAACGATATGCATGTTTGGGATCTGGTGAATGGCGACATCGACTAAACGATGCATCATATTTAAACATTTCCGTTTAATATCTAAGATGTGGAGTAACTGACCTCTCCCTGCTCACTGGGACACCGCGCCTCCTTCCCAGCGACGCCATGTTGGAGATACAACCGTGATTGCGGTTGACGTATGAGAGCGCCTCGCTTTATGGGTAATGTAGTGAGTCAGCGCAGTCGACGCATCACGTCGACTCGAATTGGGACTACTCTTCCCATGAGGCTATAAAGCAAGAGCACCTTTAAGTATTTTATAATAGCGCATAGAAGTTTGAGAGGTCAGAGCATTTATTTTAAATATATCAATTGCAAATTAACGGAAGTATGTTTGTTTGAAATATAATAATTAATTAACTACATTAAAATTGAACATCAAACACATACAGGGGACATTTATATATTTACATTGTTGCGCAAATAGATTGCATGCCTGGGTTACGACATAATGTATATACAGTATGCAATACAGTGTCCGAACCATTAAGTTTTGTGAGTGCATTTGTGTTTGTAGATTTCTGGGTGCTCACACATATTGTGCCCTCGTGTGCTCTCTGTGTCACCGTGGCGAATGGCGAGTGTGGGCTCCCGGTACATGTGTTGTAACCTGAAGCGCTTTGTGACAACTAATGTGTACGTTCAGAAGTGCGAGATCTGCGGAAGCCAAGTGTTTCACCTTTGACAACAATTGTAACATTTTTAAAATCATGGGGCACACATGACGAATCATTACAAATCCAATTAAGCATATTGGCGATGCCAAAATCATGTTTAAAACATGCCTGCTCAACCTGCCATGGTCCCCCCCCCCCTGATCGTGTTTTAATATACCATCAAGAATCCTTTCAACTGATGTAACATAAGGCTATATAGACTAAGAGCATGCTTATTTGATAGTAGGTCAATTATTCATCAGTTAATGTGTTAATTAGGCCATTCATTATTTGTTTATATTGCGCCTTCATACACATATTAAAGTAATAACTGCCAAATATTTAAGGTTTGTGTGGCAACTTGGTCAGATTCTTAGGTTTGTTTAGTTATTCTTGGATCAGACAGCTCCAGATTTAGATTAGAACACTAGTATTACTTTAGAGTACATTTCATTCAGGAAAGGCTTTTTTTATTTTAACCTGGTAAATTAATTTGATCAAATAAAAAGAAAAGGGTCAATATATGTTTATATTCCTCAAAGTTAGATATCAAATACACTGATATCAACATGCAGCCCCAGTTAATTAGGCTTTTGTTGGCCCAAAACAAGTCAAATATTCAGTCTAAATACACTAGAATATGCTGTAAAATAACTAGAACAGGCAGGTTTTTCACTATAGAACATAGTCTCCGCTGGATCTGTGGTTGAACTGCTGTGCTTTCAAATGGGAGATTAGCAAGCAGAGTTCTGTCCAGCTCACCCCTGCATTGCTAACGGTACACAATGTGACAAAGAGTTTAAGTAATTCTTAATAATGTCACTAGATGGCAGCAAATTCAAGTTTGCAAAACTCTTCTAGTTTTTCTTTAACCTTTGTTGCAGGATGTTAAATACATTTAAGTTACCACAATATACATACATAGTTTAGTGTACATACAAAGTTTTATTTATCTCTCTAAATTACTGCACTACTTATGCAAAATATATTGTACAGTACCTAATCTCTTTAAAGTTGGCTGTATGTACAAACTTAATGTGATAATAATGTGATGAGTATTGTTTTATTTATTCATAGATAGCAAGAATGGAAAAAAGTCAAAAGCACAAAACAATATAACAAGAATTGGTAAACACATGTAAACATAAACACAAAAATGAAATAATACATTGGATATCTTGGTCTATCAATAGGTTTGTGTCACCTAAAGGACGGTTTTACAAAAGGGGAAGTGGATTCCGGCAATTAACTCGGTGATTAAAGCAGATAAAGAAAGTCTGCATTTCATGTTGTGTGTCCTGCCAGAGTGTTGAGCAACCTGAGGTGTTCTTCTCCTCAACACTGAAGATTGTCAACAGCAAAAGCTCATGAAGAGCCAAAAAAGGGGAATACACTGGTTTTTTTTCAGTAAAAAATTTCTTCCATGATGACCTTTATCACTTTTACATCAGCTGGTGAAAGCAGCCATGTGGGTACAAGAAAAAAACAGATCAAATGACAAGTAAAAACAAGCGTTTAAGATCCGTCCATCCAGTGTCATTTTACTGAAAAACAGAACAAAGGACAATGGACACCATACAATGTAAATGCCCTGAATATAACAGTGCTGTTTTTTTAAGTGCTGGTTTGAGCAGAGATATTTATCCATATCCACACTGAAGCGTTGTACCACACAGTGATGAGGTTCAGACCCAATTTATCACGTGTCTAATATTTAACATGTGCGATGGAGAAAATAATGAACTTTGTCTTCAAAGTTCGCCATCCTCAGTTTGTGTTCTTTGGTTTACAAATCCCTGCATCCATGATCAATTTAGGACTCCAATAACAAACAGTACATTTCTGTTACTTGAAACAGTGGGAGTGGATATAGTAACAGTGGAACCAAATTGATATTTTGGGAAAATAAAATTCCAAATAATTACCCAGTATCCACCGAATTAATGCCTATACCTCTCCGCAATTTCATAGAAAAAAATGACATGACGTTTCAAAGATTTGTTTAGCATTTACAACTTAGCAAATTAGCATTTCAGCCTTAAAAAAACTATTTGTATGAAAGGAGGCGAAAGAAAAAAGAACATTAATAAAGCCAAAGAATATCAGAAGAGGGTCGAAATATAAAAGTCATCATAGTTTGAGCATCAGAAGCGCCGCCATCACCATCATGGAGAAAGACACCTGGGTCGGTCATCTAGCAGCGCTGCTCACATCCGATGAGTCCAAAGGAGGACAGGAAATATGCATCACATCTGTTACCTTTACAGGCCCGACCTTTGCTTCCCATCAGTGATGAGTACACATCCTGAATGTTTCTGTCTGAGGTTATTTGCTAATTTTGTTAAGAGTAGTGACCAGCTGATTCACTTCCTGTTTCTGGTGTAACACCTGTGTTACCGACCTGTAGACCCAACGTTCAGCTCACGGACGTCTGTGCCGTGAGATCGGTCGTCTCTGGAGTCACTCAATGTCATGTTTAACAAAGCCTGGTGGGTCCTTTGTTGTATGTCAGCCTGTAACTCCAAAGCACGATGCCACACAGTATTTATTCCATGGGAGTCTCTTTCTCCTTCTCGGAGCCACGTGTGGTCATTGATAAATATGTTCAAAGTACTGAGGCTGAGGATTCTCTTTGACGTATTTCTGAATGTACCAGCAGGTCAAGTGAGCTTTCAGGTCCTCTTCCACCACAAAATCCATGGCTGCCTGCCGTCACAGAAGCACAAATCACATCGCAAAGGTTCTGACAGACATTTTTATCAGACAGCATTTTACACACTTTGGACATTGATTTTTAATATTTTAGTACTTGTTGTTGTGCAGTTCAATTAAACTACATGCCTGAGTAAGCTTCCCAGATATAAGTGGTAAAATTACAAGCAAAGTCATTATATTAAGATAATCTTTCACCTTACAGCTAATCAATATTGTAATCTGGGTTCTGCCTATGTTTGTATACTGTCTATAACATTTAAAGGTTATATATATTAGAAATAGGAAAAGATACTTGCTGTCAAAATGTAAACAAAGAGGTTGCCCGGCCAACAACATCCTAAACACGTGAGTATTTGAAAAATAATAAAAAAATATAAATTGGGCCTTTAAGAAATGATCCAACAGAAAAACTCCCTCTCCTCTCTTAAGATGATGAAAGATGAAAATAACCACCCTGTGTGAGTTTTACCTTGGCCAGGTGCTTTGCTATTCCTCTACCTCTGTAAGCATCTGGAACTTCAGTGTGTTGCAAGTCCACCGTCTTCTTCCCGACATATTCATACAGAAGAACGGCACGGTCGTGAGATCCTGAGGGAAGACAGAGGCCATAGTTCTCGGTTGTGTTTGTCTCCACCCAACCCCAAGTAACAACCCCACCTCTCGAGGGGATACTGATATTACATAAAAACGCAATTGTCAATGTTTAAGGTCACAACTGTTATAGCAGATTCGTAAATATTGCTCAGTGAGAATCACTGATGACCACCACAACACACAAAAACTCCTCATTCATGCAACACAATCTTATGCTAGATTAACTATGACATGTTGGCATTTAATTTATTGATCAGGTTGCAGTTTGCAATTTACATAATATGTAGATTGAATCTACATATTATGTAAACACACATTAACAAGCTACAAAACACCTGTTTGTTTTCAGTTTATCATAAACTTAAAAAACCCAAAGCCAAGAACAAAGGGAAATAAGTTATATTTAGTTACATACTTTGGTTTGAAATAAAGGTGTCAAAATTAAGTGCTGCTGCCCATATATGGATCTGATTAATAACATACACTGTATGTTTTATAAAGGAGGCATAACTGATTCAGGTTGGGGAGAGGAACTAGGTTATTATTCGGTAACTCCTTAAGTAATGACTGATATTCAGGAGTGTCTTTCGTGAGTGGATGTTATTGAAGGTTTCATATTTGCTTTCAGGAGTTTAACAAAGAAAAATATTGCCGAAAAACAAGCTAGTGAAGTTACAAGTCAAGGAGGTCAGCAGCTTTGACCAAGAAGCCCTGTCGTCGTTTCAGTCCCGACACGAGCCAATATGTGAATAAAGACGTGACATCCCTCCTGTGTGAAATTAATAACGCCTCTGTGTCGGAAACGGCAGCTGGAGTTATCAATAAGTACACCACAACGATGTTGGCAGCGAGAAAAAAAGCCTCAGAAACCTCTGAGCTAACATTAGCCAAGCTAGCATGCTAATGTTTACATGTTGAACTTACCATTTAGTCTTATAACAAATTGCCGACGCTGTTTATCGTGTTCCACTTGTATCTGAGAGTTGTTTGCGTCGAAGACATTATTTGCCTGTGCTGCCTGGGCCATAGTATCTCGCTACAACCGACGATGACTGCTATGCTACTCTGCAGCTTTAGCTAACCCAGAAATGGCTACATGAGATGATGAACGGGCAAAGCAAAACACCTCGTCCAACGGAATCAGCTGTGAGGTCACGTGATGTCAGCCAGCCAATCAACGCCGGTGCTGTCAAAGAGGAGGAAACACGATGCAGATAGGTGAGATGTTAGTCTGTCACACATCATTTTAATTACAGACGTTTGTTCTGTATGCTGTACAGAAATTTTGGAGTTCAAACCACCTAACTTTCAAACCAAAAGTAAAACGATTTAAATCAGTGTAACGTTGGCCATCTTAGTTTAGTTAATTTGTCCAAATGTGAGGTTATGGGTTCAGATTTGGCAAAGAAACACCCATTCTGAGCAAATATTAATTAGTAAATGGTCAGAATAGACTAAATCAGAGCTCTTAAAAATACCCAATGAGTTCAGTTTACTGTTGGCGAAATCTGGCATTGACACTTTTTACAAGTCACTTTCGTGCCAGTCAAGCTCATAAAGAAAAACAAAAGATGTATAGTGTGTGAAAGGGTGTAAAAGTCTAACATGAACACCTTAAAATGTCCTCATACTATCAGTTACAGCTAGATAAAATTGTCTCATAGCATTTGATTAAGCTAATGATGTAGACTTAACTTCTCGATTTCACAATTTCTCACTCACTTCAAATTGTTTGCTTTAGAGCCTCTTTTGTTCCCACATGCGAGTCAAGCCATGCACAGTGTCTGTGGCCTACATTTGATCACCTAATTTCTAGCTTGCTCCTGATTGGAGGAATTCCATTTTGTTCCCCTCTTTTTTTTGAAATACTGTATTTTCATTTTCAGTTTACGGCTCTACACTTTTTTTTACCTTGACCAGTAACACATAATTAAATGACCAATTAGACCAGTCACATTTGCTGATAATTGATTTTGCTGAGACTAGTGTGTATCTTGATAGTTTTTTATAGTTCAGGTCAGGTCACAGCTCACAGATCCACAGTGACAGCTGTGTCGCTGTGTCATCAGCAGAGCAAATGTACAAGAAGCAGCCAAATCCTTCTCAGTTGGACTTACGAGAGTTCACGTGTTTCTCTACAATACTGTTATGGATTGTACTCATATAAGTTAAATAATGTGTCTTGATATAAACTAAATAGACATTTACAGTATTTCTAGACAAAGGCAGGGATGTCAAGTTCACTAAAATTACAGTGAAGTAATCCTGTTAAGCTGTTGGCTTAATCCTGCAAAACTCTAATGGAGTTTGTCAACTCTGTATGGGATTATTTGTGTCTGTGTTTCTTTGGGACACTATGGTATAGACCTGTTCTGTTTGTTTTTTGCCAGAGTGAGAGGGAGCACACTTCTTTTGCAGATGGATAACAGTGTCAGCCTAAACTTCTTACGTTTATCTTAATCGTCTCATTCATTGTGTTTTCATTTTACTGCTGAAAAATGATGTCCAAGGCGCCAAGGTAAGTCAGCATTATCTACAGAATCTATGTCCTGTATTACTGTTAGGGTATCATTGCTTTAATGCTATTTTTGGATTGAGCTGACCATAAAATCTTAATAATAATGAAAAACATACATGCGGCATCTTCATATGGCAGCTGAGATATTGAATATGTGATTTGAAAATGTTCAACTATTTACCTGGACCGCAAAAATTATCAATAACTTGAATTTAGCACTTCATCTGAATTAGGATGAAAATCATCCACCAGCTTTTCATTAGCTTACAAGTAAACATAATAAATAAAGTAAAATTATCAGCACAGCAATGCCTGGATATCTATCCTTGAATAAAGCCAAATCAAATGTAATAATAACACACTAAATAATTGTTTTCTGAAAGTGGAGGATGACAGAATGATTTACGCTTAACTGTCTTAATGTTATCTTTAACAGGTGGCCTGGGAACCTGGTAAACTCTAAGACCAACACACCTGCACAGAAGATGAAGGTAAGTGTCGCACTTGCTTAAAAAATGTTGTTTTGGTAATTTACAAATGCTTATTGCCTTAATCAAGTGTTTGATTGTCTCACATTTATCAATTCATCATTTATTCCTATAGATACAAAGTGTCATGAGGATTAGGCAACATATGACCTTTAAAATGTGACTTACTTTACTTTTCATTCTTCATTTATTCTTCTAGAAAAAAAAGTATTTTTACCCTGCATACCAGCACTGTTAAATATTCGTGTATAGAAAACATTCTGTAGAGTTTTGTTTCATTTTGCCAGAATGTGTTAAAATGATTGGACTATATTAACATGTTCATGGACATATTATCCTCAGAGTGGGTGCATGTTTTTGCTATATGCATGTATTAGGTTTTATTTATAAAGCCATTGATGGCCGAAGATCAAGTCAGTGCTTTTACAACCTGCACAATCCGCTAAGTCAGGACTCTTGGAGCCTCCTCTAATTGATTTCTCTGTCTTGTGGTTCGGCCACAGATTGATGCCTCTGCAGTTGGTGAGGCTGCATCTCTAAAGACGGGAAGAAACCGCCTATGTCTGATGGCTTTCCAATGCTCAAGTGTGATTAAGTTCAAGTGTGTGTCTGTGTGTGTGTCTGTCCATGATCACAGTGTCGGTCAGATGGCACTTAAGCAAATTAAGAGCTCTTAGGATTAAAAGGTTCTCTCCGTGGTGATTGGATTATATGGTGTCAAAGAGTCCATGTTGGATGGGGATGAGCAGTAGGTGCGATGTTTGAATTTAAAATATTATCGTCCTCAAAACTGAAAACCATACGGAACTTAATACCTAAAAGCCTGTCTTTATGTGACATATTTTCTCAGCCCACCAGTGTTCAGCCTCTGCTCTTGCTCTCTTTATTCTCCCAAAGGATCCAGCAGCATTAACAGTACCTGCATCTAGTAGAGCTAAACAGGCTGGCTGCCAGACGTCTAAACCCAGCGTTAGTTGTGGAAGGAGCAACAGCCTCAGTGGCAGAGGCAGTGATTCAACTGCTAGTGGCAGTAAGGCCGGTGGCAGTTTGAAAAGAGGCAGCCTCGGCCACCAGGGTATCAGAGCAGCATCTCGCTCAGCCAGACCAGCTCTCCGCCTCTGCAGCAGCCGGAGCTTTTCGTCCCTCCACACCTCGTCTCTCACTGCTGCTCCGTTCATGAGAAGCAGCTGCTCTCTCAACAGACTCAACCAAAGATCCACCGGAGATGGTAATTTCATTCATATTGAATTTGTTTATTTACAGTTCTTAAGAATATTTACAGTATATTTATCCCAATAAAATTATATTAGTCAATTTTAATGTGGTGGCTCATTTTTATAGTTATTCATATATGTATTTTCTTAAGTTGCTCCAAATCAAAGAAGTGAAATTTACAAAAAGAAGCTCTAAAGATTTTGTGAGAAAATAATGACACGTCACTGAAGAAGTTTTTTCTTAAAAATAGTTTTATATACAGCTTTTGTTTCTTTACCACCGTCTCTGAAACAGATTCAGACCATTCAGTTCCAAGTTCACAAGTAACAAAACAAACCGATGAAAAGAAAGAACTGAATTCTGGTCAGCTGTCTTCCTCTGAGGAGCAAATCAGGTTTGTTGTGTATCTTTTGTTTGTTTGTTTTTTTAGAATAAGAGGCTCCTGGGTTTTTTGTTTTATGGTTGCTTTGTAAAATTCTTTTGTGCTTCAATTCAAATTATTAACATTTATGTTCCGATCATCAAAAGGGACAACAAAGACCAGTGTCATGATGATGAAGTGGAGAGAATGAAAACAAGCAGCCCCTGTGAGCCACCAGAGTCTTCCTCCTCTTTGGTTTCCACCACTGCATGTCATCATCATTGCAACAAAGTAAAGAAACAGGTACTTTGACTTTTAATGTGTATTTACAAATACATAATAGAAGCTGTTGTCTATACCAATCAGCACATTACATTACATAAAAATTGTTCTACATCGTAGTCTATTGAAGCAGACTCATGTAGCCCCATAAAGGCAGACACTGCAGTAATCTTAATAATTTAATTTGTATGTTGTCCTGCTTATCAAAAAAAAAAAAAAAAAAAAGCACGGTCTCATGCTGTTACCATAGTTTCAAAGAGAAACATGACACAAAGTGTGACAAGCAGGAGTATGTGATTGTCCAGTCTGGTTTCTTGCTGGTTACTGAAGTCATGCTACATCTTGGGCCTTGTAAGAACTAAGAACAAACTGGTATGGTACTAAGGAATATGGACAAGCCACAAACAGACGACCTGAGCACACCGACTAAATACACAAGGAGAGCAGGGTGATTAGACACAGGTGGAACAAATCAGGCCAGGGCCGACAATCCCAAAGGTGGAAAACACCCAAAGTCAGGAATTATAGAGGACTTTCTAACTAAAAGAGTAAACAAACCCAAGAACCTCGACACAAATGACCTAAAGACCACAGAATGGATAGGATGCTTTGCTTTGTCATTTAAAGCCCGACCTACTCAACTTTAAGAAAGGATGGATGATGCGGCAGCACTCGTCTGGACAGGTGAATTTATCAATTCACTGTTGCTTAAAATGTTAGTAACAGTGGCATGAAAACTTGTCTGACAAGCTAATGATCTTGTGCACTGTCCTGTTCTGCTTATAGTGGCAGCAACACTGGTTTGTCCTGACCGACCAAATCCTGAGGTTCTACAAAGATTCATTAGCTGAGGAGGTGCGCTGGTATTTTGCTTTGTTAAAATGTAACTTTGCAGTTGAAGTAGAAGAAAATCCTGACCCAGACATATGACATTCTACTCAACATTGACTGTGAGTCTGAACAGAGGTTTATGTTACAGATATTTGGCCCTATGCTCTCTTGTTCCCTGATTGTTCATTTCAGACAGCTGATGTGGTCGGTGAGATAAACTTGTCCACATGTTTTGACATCAAAGACTACCCAGCTCAGAAGAACTGTGGTTTTCAAATCCATGTGAGTTCAATAGCTGCTCAAATTTACAGTCAAATTAAGGAGTAATGAATATAGTCCAATGAGTCTGATAACATATACAGTATATCATCACAATTGACCTGATGTTCAAATAGGCACGGTGAAGACACAAAATCTTGTATTTAAAAACAGTTCTGTAGATTTTTTTCACTTATGATTTTGGTGTACCCAAATATTAATGGCTCAATGAATATTTACAGCAATAAAATCGATTATTATTGAGCTGCTGTACAGGCAGGTAGGCTAAGTAGCACGTGGTAGTATCCAACCAATCAGAATTTTATCTAGTCCCAGTTCACCCGCCTTTCTTTTGACAAAGATTCTTACTTACTGTAACATTTAGTTTCATGGAAGTCTATGCCTCTTATTGGTTCTTTTCTGGTGTTACTAGATATAATGTAATATGCTTATCTACAATTCTCCACATGTCAGTTACTTTAGTGAAAAACTATATAGTTGTCATTTTCATCACTAACCATAAAACATGTTAAATTAAGAAAATCCCTGCTGTCCTGCTGAGTAAAAAGAGGTGGGTAGCACGAGTCAAGCTTCTTTGATGTTACCCAATAGCGAGGGTGAATCAAGGTAATCTCAAAATGTTTAATAAACTGACATGATATGAATACATAAATATGTTTACATTTCTCTTTCCGCAGACCAGAGATGGAGTCTACACACTCTGTGCGATGACCTCTGGGATGAGACGCAACTGGGTCCAAGCAGTGTTGAAGAATGTGCGGCCCAGTCTTACACCTGACGTCACAAGGTAAATAAAGTTGTTAAAAGTGCTGCATAATTGGTACCAGATTTGTAAATGTAATGTATTGTACCTTTACTTGTTCCAGGCCATATTGTGGCTGTTAGTGGATTTAACATTCATAGTCTAAATTTGTTTCTCTGTCATTCCTCACAGCTCCCTTTCACAGCATCCAGACTCGCAGTCAGCTGAGGATCTGCAGAAAGCTGAACACCCAAACAGCTTTTTGCAAGAGGACAAAACCAGTGACTGTGCAGAGGAAACACATCAGCAGCAGAAAGAAGAGGAACCGCAGCCAGAGACAGAGCAAAGTTCTGCTGATGGAAGCTCAGTATTGTCCACAATCGGCTCCTCTGCTCCGTCTCCCATCAGTCCTCCTCGGCAAGTGGAGGAAGGTGAGGGTGCTTCCTGTCTTCAGTGTTCGCTTCTTGATGCAACCACACTGACTGGTGAGTCATTGAACAAACTGAAACAAACAAGAAAAATGCCATCTCAGTGTTTTTTTAGTAATTCACTTTTAAAATAAATGAAATTTGATGTAGATGCTCAGTGCATGAGGCCTATATTACTTTTACACCCTATAGTTCTGATATACTGCTTAATAAAATACTAAAATAATTGTATTTGTGAATTTGAACTGCTGCTCATTTCAAGAACCTTCTACGTCAGTGGTTTGCAATCATGCACCATTCATATGCTCCACAGGGGAACAGACATAGTGATAAATGGTTACGTATTGTTAAATTTCATATCACATTGTACTTAATTGGTTCTTTGTACAACCTTCTGTGCACCAGGTGTGACAGATGCATCATCGTGTGTTGATGGAGCTGGTGACAGCTCTACTTCCACTTCAATGCTGTCAAATGTTGAGTGTTTTGATGAACATTCAGATACGCCGAGTAAAACTGAGCAGAGTTGGCAGCAAGTTAAAACCCCACCCCGCATCGACAAGCAGCAAGTATCATTAAACGTCACCCGTGAGAGCACAAAAGATAACGATCAAGTTCCCTGTGAGCAGCAAACTGGGCAACTTGTTAAAGAGGTGAGATTATGCTTGAGAGTGTGTGTACGTAATTAAAACAGTGGATTCAAAAATGTTCACCTGAATGCATTAACAAATGAGTACCTGATTTGTGTGACAGTTTCATTGCTATTTCTCTACAGCTGGAACAAACACAGAAGGAATTGTCTCGACTGCAGCAGTTAAACAGTAATCTGCAGGAAGAGCTACAACAAGAGAGACCGAGGCATTCAAGAGAAAGGGTTCATACACAGGTATAACGCAGAAGACACTCAAACATATACAATATGAGCATGCAAAGCCCAGTTTGTCCCAATTAAAGCTTACTTTTGTCCTGTAGAATGATCTTCTTTCAAACTCCGACTTGGAACAAGCATTGGCTTTACAGCGACTGCAGAAGATAAACCATGACCTCCGCTTTGAGCTGGAGGCTAAAACTAGGAGCCATGAGAAAGCCAGGGAAGTTGAACTGCGGCAAAGGGTAGATGTCTTAGCGCAACAAGCACAATTACTTGTCGCAGGTGATGCCACAGCACTTGCACAAGCCCATCTGGAGCAAGATCGCCTGCGTTTTCATGAGCAGCAGACGGAGTGGGAGCGTTGCGTGGCCTCCCTGAAGTCCCAGCTGAGTTCCAGCGAGGAGAAGAGGGGGGAGGCTGAGGTGCGCTTCACACAGCTGCAGCAGGAGTTGCAGAGTTACCAAAGTCTCCAACAGGAGGCTGAGCGCTTGCACAAACATCTTCAAGAGGTGACAACTGAACTTCGTGCCAATGAGGAAGCGCAGGCTCAAAAAGAGGCTCGCCTGCAGAAGCACCTCACGCTCCTTCAAGAAAGTCAGGACAGAGAACGGAGGAGCTTGGCCTCCAGCCTGGCACAGGCAGAGCAACACTCAAAAGAACTACAGGAGAGACTGGACAGAGATGAACAGCAGGAGGGCCTGAACAAGACTCCGACATGGACCAGTGACATTGAGGAGGCTCAACAACAGCTTCAAGAGGAGCTAGCCTGTACACTATCTGCTGTGCAGAAACTTCAAGAGGAAAGAGAGCAGCTCGATCATCGCTGTCAAGAGCTGCAGAACCAGTTATGTGAGGCAGATGGGGAGGTGAGCAGGCTGCAAAGCCGCTTGGAAACCGAAGAGACGCACTACTACAATCTTGAGCACTCATACGAGAGAGTTAGCGAGGACCTGCAGCTGGCCTTAGGGAAGGTGCAGCAAAATGATTCTGCAACAGAGGACATGCGAGAAGGCTACGAGAGGCTCCTGGACAGGAAGGAGCAAGAGCTGAGTGAAGTTTTGCTGAAGATGGAAGTCTTAGGTAATAGCCTGGAGGAGACAGAAGTGAAGCTGAATGACGTGTTGAAACGTTGCACCAGTAACTCTTCTCAACCAAAGGATGAATCTTTAGACTCTGATCAGCAAAATGAGAGACGAACAACTGATCACGTCACTGTAGGTGACAGCAGGCCAAAGGAAATAAACAGTGACCCAGAAAGGTTTATGTCTGTGATCCAGATACTTGAAACCAAGCTTTATGTAACAGAAGAGAAGCTAAGGGATATCATGCAAAGACTGCAGGAGCACCACAGTCACACCAGCTGCCAGGACCCTCACATTTGCTCCCAGCTCACTCGGAGCCGAGCCAGTGCTCAGCACCTCAGTCTGCTTCTTCACAGTCAGGCCAAGCAGAGCCAGCGCTTCGCCCAGGAGACAGAAAACCGCTGCAGGATGCTGGTTGGTAGGTTTCAGCTCGCACTGAACATCATACATGTCTGCAGAGGGAGGCTCCGGGCCACTCCTATTAATATTACAGACTTTGAGAAGCAACTAGCCACCGTTGCTGCCTGCCTTCAGCAAGGAGAGAAAGTTGCAGAGAAACAGCAGCATGAATCACACAACGCCAGCAAAGGAGAGGGCAAGGTCCTCAATGACGAGACATTAGCTGAGAGCAACATTAGTGCTAAAAGTAAACCCACTAGTACGTTGCCCTCGGACGATGACGTGGAAAGTGTTGGCAAGTGTTTATTGAGGGAACTATTTGTTGTAGAAAAAATGGTGTCTGTCCTTCAGAGTCAACATGACATTGTGCAACAATCCTTACCACCAAGAGAGGATGGGGGGGATTTGGCACACAAGTACAAAAGCATAATCGCGCAAAGAATAGCTTTAAAAACAATAAAAAGGACCCATTCTGGGGGAGCAGAATGTGACAACAATGAATGTTTAGAGAGGGCCATCGGTGGAGTCTGTGCTGAAGCGGAGCTCATTTATGCTGCCTTAAAATTTCAGCAGCAACATGAGAGCGTGACTCAAGTAAATAATCAAGAAGTGGAAGAAGTAGAGCTTCAAAGTAATAGTCTGGCAGATATCAATCCCCCAGAGTTGGCTCCTTATGAGGAGCAAGTGCAGGGAGAGGATAAAGATTCAGAAGGAGCTGCTAAACCAGTTGAAAAGGATGAATCTGATGTTCAAAAGATAGAGGCAGAGAAAGAACCAGAGTGGTTGGAGAGATTTATATCCCGGTTGCAGAGAAGGGCTAATTTCTTACACCAACTCTGCCGGGAGGTTTCTGATGGCAATGCAGTAGAGTGCAGTGTGGATGGTAACTGGGAAAATGCTTCAGCAGCTGACTTAAATTGGATGCAGGAGCAGGCAAAGTTAATTTATCTGTCAGACAGGCTGCACTCAGATTTAGAGCAGCAGCAAAGTGTGGTGTTACAGGACAAACTGCAAGCTTTGTGCAAAGAGCAGGATATCACATTAAAGGATGAGCAGGAGACTTTTAATCACACCTTATGTCAGCTTCAGGAGGACAACATTGTATTAAGAGGAGAACTAAAGCGTGCAGAGCAAAAGATAATATCTGTAGAGACTGGGAACCAGAGACTCCTGGAAGATATACGGAAGATCAACGGTTTCCATGAGGAACGGATGAACAAAATGGAAGCTGAGTTTCAAGAGAAGATAAGGGAACTGCAACAGATCCACGAAGAGGAGATGAAACACGTGCATGGTTATTACACCAAGTCTTCCAAAGAGAAACAGACCAGAACATACTCCGAAAGTACCTCTGCCCTAACAGACCAGACTGTGATGGAGAGAAAAACGATGCTGACAGATGGTGCAGCAGCCATGAGAGAGGCTTATCAGAAAGATCTTGAAAAACACGAGGTAACAAAGACCTTATTTCTCTTTCATAAATGTAAGTAGTAAGTAATCACTGATTTTAAATAGAGAACTTGTTCTAAATTTTAATATAGGCATCCTGTGATCAAGAATTCGCTGCCATGGAGGAAATGCACAGGCAGCTGATGGGTGATCTACAGCAGCAGCATCGGACGGAGGTGGCTGCACTTCTGAAGGAGAGAGACAAGCTGCTAAAGGAAGAGACGGCTGCCACAATGGCAGGTAAACGTCTATCAGCAAGAAGTCATACACAAAAAAAAGCACCGTAGGCCTGTTAAGCCAATACAAACTGAATTTCACTCTTTTTATTTATTTTAATGTGATGGGGGAATGTTCTAAAAGTGTTAACATTGATTGATAAATGTAAATAACCTTGAATAAAGGAAATTATAATGTGGAAACAGGCTGGATGAACTGCAAATAAATGATCTTACTCTAACTTAACAATGGTGAAGAATCATGCAAGTTTTCACATCTTTCTACAGCCATTGTAGCGATGAGGAGAGCTCATAAACAGGAGCTGGAGAAAAGCCGACAGTCTCAGCACATGAAGGAGAGCGCTGACACCACACAACTGCACATCGAATATGAGTGAGCTTTTTTCTCTCTTCCACTTAAGTTCACAGAATATTGATAATTGATAAATAATGAATGACACTTTAATAGCTAGCAGATAAAATGCCTTTACCCCAGGTGGAGTTCCACAAAAACATACTAACAAATGCTAAAATATGCATTCATATTGTACTTTTATGTAAAAACGCATATATAGATAGGAGTTACTCCACTTTCCAGTTCCAGTTAGTGTCAATATCTTAATATAGAAAAAGCATTGGCAGCGTCATCTCTGTCTCACACATTTGAGGACAGACTAACGAGCTGTGAATTGGCAGCCGGTGTGGCAGATCTGTCAATGGTGCTGATATTTGGGGAGTGACATGGACACAGCATCTAATCATATCAGAGTAAATCTGGAGTTAGAGTGACCTCATGTTTAAATTGGCATTAATGTCCTATTTTACTCAGACTGGTAGGAGTTACATTGATTCCATGTACAAGTTATTTGGACATGTACCTGTTCTATAACTCTTTATTGGCAACAGATTTGCAAGATCAAACTATTTGGGAAATACAATCACAGCTTTTCCATCATGTCCATGTTTCCCATTTTTTCCAGTTGTGCTTCTTGTAGTCTCACTATTTCTGTTTGGGAGTTGTTTTTCCCCAATTCCTCATAATAGCTTTTGAATGTGATATTAATAGTGTTTTGACCAATTGCTTCCTCCTTGTACAGTTTTTGTCGCATCATTTGTGCTTCTGCTTTGCCGCTGCAGGAAGGAGATCCGGTTGATGCATAAAGAGCTCGAGGTGTTGTCGGTTCAGCACACTCAGAAATGCCTGGAAAACTCTCAGCTGAGCCAGGACCTGCAAGATGAGAGACAGTCCTTGATTCATTACCAAAAGGAAAACCAGGAGCTCAAAAATATGCAGGTACAATCATTTTCTTTTCACAAAGGTAGCTGAGCGTTCTTCATTTGTATTCAATTAAAATACCCACATGCAGTTGGCGCAAACAGCGTGTATGTATTTATAAAACCATCTATAAAATGCATCACCTTCTCCCTCTGTCCCTTGTTGTCCCTTCAAGAGAGAGACAGATGAAATGTCTCAGCTACATTTCTCGCGAAATGAGAAACAGTCACATGTTGCCCCTCCAATAAACGACTTTTATGAGATGGAGGTAAGTGTTTGTGATGGTCTAAGTGGTTTGTATGTATTTGTGTTTTTCAGCTAAATTGACCCGTAGTTTGAGTGTCTGTTCTGCCTTTAACTTTATCTGTGTTGAATCCAATTTGAGGTTATATTGTTTATACATACATATGTAAGCGTGCTAGAAAAGATTCAGTTTAATGATAAAGTTCTACAGGTATATAGTGCATGTTTGCATTTATAATCCTGTCCCCCTTTATCATAACACATGTGTTGATGAACTTATGTTACAGGTGATTCTGCGGGCGAGGGAGGCAGAAATGCAGTTTCTCAGACAGGAAGCTTGTTCTCTCCAGGAAGACTTGAAGATTGCTCGAATGGTACTGAAACCTCTTTAAACTTGCAATTGTAATGCTACTAATTTAAACGTGTTATATCTGTGCCCTGACGGTCTGATAAAATATTTGTTATTTATATGAAAAGAGCAACTGCGTATAACTAAAAAACTAAAAACTGACGTATGTGTGTGTGTAACAGGACAAAATATACGCCGAGAAAAAGCTCAAGGCCCTCTATAACAGCCAGGATGAATCCCATCATGATGTCAACAAACTATTGGAAGATGTCAAGTCCGCCACTTGGTCTCCAAGCGGACACGCTTCAGGACGGTCCCTCGGTAAGACACTTTTTACTTAGTGTACATTACAGGATGTTATGATAACTTATGAGATTTCTACTCACGCACACATTCAAACCTGAGAAATAAGCTTATTCGCATTCTTGCTAAGAGTTAGATGAAAAGATTGATTCCACTTTCACATTTGTGCAGTAAATATTAAGACGGCAGCTGATTAGCTGAGCATAAAAACTGGAAACAAGGGGAAACGGTTCACCTGCCCAAAGGCAACAAAATTCAAAAACGGCATTTCTATTAATCTCCTGATCTAACTCTCTTCAAGAAAGGCAACAAGTGCATTCTCCAAAATGTAGAACTACTCCCTTTATGTCCCTCCTCTCTTGTTTTCTCAGAGGACACTGTGACAAAAACAAGTAATGCTGCTTTTCTGAAGAAAACAGTTAAATCAACCCTCGCACGTCAGATCAGAGTGGGATCAAAGGTAAAATGTGTTGCTGCATCATCTGCTTTGTCTATTGATTTCTGCAAAATGTTCCTTTCACATGAACCATTTTAATTAAACCTCCACATCACAGTAAAGTTATTCAATCGTAATAACTACAGATTAAGAACTTTCACACTTTCTTTTGTCTTTTGTGTGTTTGGCTTGCAGAGTTTAAAAGACGGCCTTTCTGTCCAAGAAAGAATGAGGTTGTTTGAGTCATTCTGATCAAAACAAGATGAGAAGGTGGAATCTGTGTTTCAGAGTAAAACTGCTGTTTGGTCAGTGCAGTTTGAACACAGACAATGTATCTCTGTCTAGTTTACAGAAGATGTGTATGTGTTATATTATGTTACTTTTTTTACTGTGTAGAATGTTGATTTGATGTTTGTTGTTGATGTGATATGTGCAAAATACGTATTTGTGTGTGTGAGAGGGAGAAAGAGAAAGGAGCATCAGAATACCACTAGAGGGAGCAACAAACACTGACTTTTCTAGATGAACATTTTTAAAAAGTTACTATATAATATAAGACAGTAATAACAAAGACATTATGTTTATATTTTGGACATCAGTGCATTGCACTGTGTAACTTATAAACACTATCTGTGTTTCTATTAGAATTACTGTGTGGCGTCCGTTATATAAAAAATGTTATTGACATATTGTACCACTAGATGTAGCATAATACAACATGTACCCTGCCAGCAAAGACGACTTCTGAAACAGAGGTGATGTCAGTAACTGTTTTAAAATCTGTTCCGCTGACATGCAGCCGTTTTATTACTAGAAATATTTGAGCTGCAAAAGGTCAATCATTTTCAGAAGGTTACTGTCTTTGATATCAGTATCTGAACACATTAAGCTTGATGTGTGAATATTTTGTATTCTGGCAACATTGTTATATAAATTCTGACAATAAAGTATTTTCCTGATAACCAAAGCACATTGTTTGTTTCTCTGTGTCTCTCTGACAGTATCTGGTTGTGAGAGTAAATAACTGCGTTGTAAGTAACAAATAATCAGTAGCATGCTGTGAAGATAGATCGTTTTTATTGTCCTAGAGGGAGATTTGTACATATCCCTCACAGAAACATACAAATATACATGAAGTAACACATGCCCATAAAAAAACACATGTCAAGTTAAGTGGGATAAAAATATAAGAGAAACAATCTCCTGATAGGTGTTGATCTGAAACGAATAAAAATAAAACATTGCCTAAAGTTATAGTTAGTTTGAGGACAAAGTGCAGGTGTACACTCACATGTGTTGATAGAGCAGAATTGATAGGAACATACTCACTACACAGTGTCCCGAGTCTGTCGGTCAACGAAAAAAAAAAACTGACCCAAGAGGTCTCTCACTGTGCAGCTCTGCTTTTGTCAACAGGCAGCAACAGTGTGACACAGAATGAACCTGAGCTCTCAGGAGCCCAGCAGCAAATGAAGAGGCTGGTGCAAGAAAACACTGATGTCCGCTCTGTCTCGAGGGACTACACATACAGTACAGTACCTCATTAAATGGAGCATCGAGTCTGCACAGAGCCTGCAAGTGATGATAACACACTTCAGCAGGGTCAGAGTCAGAGGAGTCCCTGGTTTTAATAGAGATCCCAAACATTTTGCGGGTTATTAACGACTAAATGCTGTTGATATTTAAGTGCCACACATTACTCAGAGCTAGGTTACAGGTTGCCTCAGTTAACATCTAAAACTTAATATGAGTAAATTATGAATTGAAAATGGAGAGCTTTTACAAGTGTTTTTCTTACTTTATCCTGTCTGGCTTTTTTCTATGGAAACACAGAGCTTTAACAATAAATGTTTACATCTCCAAAGGTCTGATTTCTGTGTAAAAATATAAATCCTAGCTCCCAGTGTCCTTACAGAACCCTTAATTAGTTCCCTGGAGTCATATTCCTAAAGAGGAACATCGCACCTCATTAAAACCCAACACTCTTCTTTCCTTCCTTGTGACTCCTGCGTGTGAAACTTCCGTCATGTGAGCCAACACTTTGAAAGAGCAAAGCTGTTTCTTAATGTTATCCTTCATGGATGGAGTTGGCTTCCTGTGACATTTTAAATGACATAAACACCATTTCTGCACTTGTTTCCTGAAAATCAACATGTTTTTTTTATTTTTATAAAATAAGATATGATAATCCTTTATTATTCCTGCAGCAGGGTAAGGTTTTTCTTCAGAAAACAAACCTGGAACCTGCAAGTCGAGTTCAAAGTGTATCACTGATAAAAGAAAATAATTATGAGCATGAATGGAAACTCTTGTCTTCATAAATAGTAGCTTGAAAAAAAATAATCTTAATTTCAGGTTTGCTAGCTCTGAATCTACTGATGAATTCTATAAATTCTGTGGTTGAACGCTCTGGAAAAAGCTGGACTAGAGCTGAAAAAATGTGTTCATTAATTGATTCGATCAGCAGAAAATTTATCTGAAAATATTCTGATAATTGATTAATCCTGAAGTCAATCTTTGGGGTTTTGGATGTCCCCTTGGGCTGTAAAAGTCTGATGACTATTTGTAGACATAACCACGATTCAATACAAATAAAATAAAATCAGCAGATTAATTGATAATGACAATACTACTTATTTGCAACCCTAAAGTGGATGTGTGTGTGTGTGTGTGTGTGTGTGTGTGTGTGTGTGTGTGTGTGTGCACCTGCAGGGTTTGTTCTGAGTCGAGCTGCCCCACAAACGCTCCCGGTCCTAATGACTGATCAGCGGCTGATGCAGAAACACCAGTACACACACAGGTGCACCTGCTCGGGATGTAAAAATAAGTGCCCCATTTATTAATGCAAAGATCAATTACTGCAACCAGCACAGAGGCGGCTCTGATCAGCGAGCACAGCCTGCTTCCTCAATGATACACTTCAGTGGCATTTACATTGCAGCTGACGGGAGCACGACTCTGCTCATTCTTCCTCTCACATGTGACGCGGGTCTGCATTTGAAAATTGGTGTGAAGAGGAAAGAGCTGCATGGACTTGTTTTTCCCCAATTTCATATGTTACAAAATCAGGTCCAGAGGCGTGTGACCTACATGCAACTCAATTTTCTCAGTGTTTCCATGACAATGGATAGATCCTACGTTGTTCACCTGAGACAAATATAAATTTGGCTCCTACATCAGTTTGGCAACGCCGGCCTCGGTATGGAGGACGATGAGGCTGATTGGTATTTGGGGAAGCACTTTATTACAGTCGACTCTTGTATGTGCTGTAAGGAAAATGTGTCAGAAACAAACAAGCAAAGTTTTGTTGGTGGAAAAACAGACGTGAGGCATATTTCTATCATCTTTCAATGATCCAATATGAAATTAGTTAATATATGCACTCATTTTAGATTTTTTTAACAGGACCAGACCTTGACGTTAAATTTTCCATAAACTTTTCAAATAACCTTTATGTTATGTGAGGAAAAAGAAACTTCCTTATCCACTTGTATGAGGTAGAATAACAGAAAGGTTTAATCAAAGTTTTTGGATTGAATGCAGAAGTGAGAGGAACCTGCAATTCAACCTCGTGTCCTTTTTGCCTACATGGTCTGCCTACATGGTCTCCCTGTGTTCATCACAAGGTGAGAGCACTTTAATATGATGAGGCAGGTAGTTGATTAGGCTGATCTGGAGAAGACACCCTCAGTGGAGCAGTGAGGTTAGTGAACAGCTCCCTGAGCAAAGTCCTGTGTCTTGTGTATGTGCAGCGTTTCTTTCTGTTGGGTGCGAGCACAACGCCTCTCTTCCCCACTCAGGCTGTTTTTGTCGATGTTGGCTGCCAACAGAGACATGAATATCACTCAGACTCTCTACAGTATATCTCCATCTTTCGTGTTGTATCTCTCTCTTCCTCGCGATCACTGCTTTGTTACACAGACCTGCCACCATTTTGTTGGAGGTTATTGCAACAGAGATAGCTCTATTCCATAGGTGAACAGAAAGTACATTTTTTTCTGAAGTTGAAAAAATAAACTTACAGGGCAACTGTAACCTAATGTGACAGCACCGACTAAGAGGTAAAAACAAGCTACAAGCTACAAACTCTGGCTCAAAGATTTTACAAATATTATTAAGTTGACAGCAGATGGATGGTTAACTATGTGATTAATTCTATTCACAACAGTAATTACATACCAAATCTTACAGCTATAGATACTGTATATAGCTATAGATAATAGAAGAACAAGCAGGAGCTGCAGAACGTGAGCATGAGCAGCAGGAGTGCTGCTGAAGCTCAACTAACAGACGGTTACACAGTTGTATAATTGGAGTACCTGCCTACTCCTAAACCTCAGTGTCCTGCCAGAACCAGTTACACTCATGTCTGACTGAGCTTTAAGTAAACATCCTGTGTCTTCTGTACCACACAGGGATAACCACAACATGACATAACACTCGGTAGGAAGCAGGAGAGTTTGTGCTGATTATCTGAAAGATTATCAAACTGCAGCTTGTGTCCTGAGTGTGAACGAGTCTGGCCCACTTTGTGGTGCCGCAGTGAGGCGGCCTTTAAATAACTCGCTCGGTATGAGGTCTGTCCCTATAGCACACTTCACATCCCTATCTGGTCTGCTATCTCATATCTGAACCCATTACCCATTCACAGGCCTGATATCATAGTAACAGTGACATAGTATGGATGTAAAGCTACAACTCAACCACACACAGGAGCACACGCCCAAAGCAACTTGTATTTTAAGATAATTTAACTAAAGTTATAACCTGTCAAATCTTACATTCAACACATTTTCTGCATAGATATACATATGAATGTCTGCTAAACTGTCTGAGTTACTGCTGTCATAACAAAAAGTAAATATGACCATAAACAAACGATTTTGCTGCCCCTCCCTCTGGAACTCTCTTACAGTGGTCTTACTAAGTGAACACAGATCCAACAGCACTAACACTCACAAAGGTCAAATATTATTTCCCATTCAATTTAGAAAACTGATACTCAGATTACCATGGCTTCCTTGGAGGACGTCATGTTGCAGTGTCACACAAACCTTCCACCCTCTCTGCCCTGCGATGGCCTGTAGTGAATCTGGGCCAGGCCAGCACTGGAAATACTGGTTCTGTTTCTGTCCTGTGAAATAATTACAAATTCACGGGCAGAGCAGTGTGGCGGTGGGTTGTTTAAAACCTGCATGTTGTGGCTTGCACACCGCACAAAGCAGATTTCTATTGATCTGGGGTGTTTGGAAAATATTTGTGGTTTCACAGAAGTATTGTGTGACAATGTAAGTGTGTCTGCCCTATGCAGTGCCCCAGAGTGAGATAACTCTCACTCTAATATTGACACATTTTTAAAGTCATACTAGTTCCCCTGCCATGGCTCTATGGCAATGTCACCTATCAGTCCACCATTTTGCTTCATACTGAAATATCTCAATATATTCACATGAAATTAATACATTCATGGTCCCCAGAGGATGAATCCTACTGATCTTGTGACTTTTCCTCAAGCACCGCCATGAGGTCCACATTTGAGTTTTTTAGGCTACGGTGGATGGATAACTAATGGATGGATTGCCACAAGATTTGGCACTGATATTCATGGTGCCCAGAAGATTAACCCTAATGACTTTGATGATCCCCTGACTTTTCCTCTTGTGCAACTACAGACCGACGTTTGGTACAGATATTCATGGTCCCCAGACCATTAGATGTCTTCTAATGCCTTTTGGAGATCCTGACTTTTCAACTGGCGCCATCGTTAAATATAATACCTGCCAAACTGTTGGAATTCCCATGAGCCTCACTGTACTTTGAGTTTAGTGCGAAGTAACAAATAGCAGATCCCATGCCAGCATGAGGTGTTAGCATGGTATCTGCTATTTGTAAGTACAGTCTCACACAGGTACTAGTGTGGCTGACTCATAGTCTTGTTTTACAACTATAATTAAGGAAACAACTTCTTATTGGCCTTGTGATACACAAGTTATTCACTGATTTCCTCCTTCACACAGGCATGCACACACACACATGAGACAAATGAGTGATGTTCAGCAAGGAACTGCCTACATGGGCTTTTTTAAAGACCAGCGTGTTCAACAGAAGCTGCTCTGCTTTCTGAATCAGTCAAAATGGAGACCACATCACCCACTCTGTGATCAGTTTGGTTTAAGTTAGAAAATAAAGACAATATTAAAGAGGATGACATGAATTACTTTTTTATTTCCATAGATACCCACAAAAGTGTAGATTTTACCTCTGGACCAATGATGCATCCAATGTGCATTATTACTTTTTTTCTGGCTTTTCTGAAAGAAAGAGAGGCTCTAAAGAAACACCACTTCATACATTCATTAAAATCAATGCTGTCACAAAATAATAAGGACAACTTAACCTAACCAAACCCAGAGAAACTAGTTTAACAATTATATATGTTCCAGTCATTTCTGGTCTCTCTCGTAAACATCAGTCCTAAAAAAAACATCGCTGACCATTAGCTGGTGCAACACTTGGTAGGGGAAGAGCATGTAGTCTCCAAATGCCAAGTATCTACAGTGACACCGTGAAAGGGAGGGGGAGGACAAGAGCGGAGCAGTGAGCAATAGTTCACTGGATGTGGGATACAGAGTGGGATCTGCAGCAGAACAAGATCACATAGCAGATATACCAAGCAAGTGTGAGACTGTCGACTGCCCATGACTCTAAAATATGATATGAGGTATTGATTTCTTGATTGGACTGGACCATACAGGTCATGTGAGCCCAAGAGACAATCAGTTTGGGATAGCTGAGATCAAGTCGTTGTGCTATCTTGAGGGGCAAAATTATGACTTCAGTGCTTCAACTGAGTGATTTTATCATTTCTTGTCTGTTTCTGATCAACTGGATATAAATCGAGCAGTAACTTTGGAGGACTTGACCGTAGGAGTGCTTTTTGAGTGGAGAAAGAGACGCGTTAGAAACAGGAGGCACAGACATGATGGTACTCTGTGGCTATTTACTTTTCTGCCTCACGAGGATAGAGTGGTTCTACCCGTAACAGACGAGAAGAGTTGAAAAAAGGAAGCCTGAGGAGAAACATGCAGCAGTTTGACTAAAAGACTGGGAGATCTAGAAGAAAAAGAAAGTCGGAAATCAACAATTATTCAAAAACCTTGCACACAAGGTAAGCTACTTGTAATTTTAGATTTTGAATATAATACTTTAGTCAACATTTTTTCAATGAGAGACCTGTGGACTGTCTTCAGTCTCTACTGTGACACACGTCAGCAGAGAAGTAGACTCATCTCTGCTCCGGCGTTGAGATCACAGCCCAGCAGGCAGAGTGTGGCTCCTCAGAGAGCTGACGAGCAGTCGCACAGAATATTAGATATTAATAACCTTGCTTCTTAGCAACCAGAGTATTCGAATCCGCACAAAATGTGAGTTTGTTTCTTTATCAATCGTCATCCTGGAGTCTGTACTTATCAATTCTAAATTAATTCTGACTGAGTGTTTGAAACATATCTCAACTTTTACATAGCTGTTTTGTTGTATGTCCAGGGTGTCACTGTCTATCTATCCATAGCCGAGTATCCATGTTGGGGACACCTGCACAGCAGACTTTGTGACCCCATTCGGAAGTTTGCTTTTATAACTGCACGGTCTTAAAGCTCTGAGCCTTATATTTGACTGCATCTTGTCTCTTAAAGAGACAAAACAAAAAACAATCATCTCTACCGTGTTTTCTGAGCTGAGTGTCGTCTGGTTCTCGGTCCCTGGAGTCTGCAGTGTGATGTGTGACTGTGTCTTATTTTATGCCTTGAAATGAGGGAGTGTCTGTCAAAGTGAGTGTCTGTCAATTAAATCTCTAATAATAATGAATCAGGGCAGCTGAACGTCAATAAAGCAAGCGACATAAATTTCAATAACTAATTGAAGCATGTCTAGTTTATAATGCATGTATGCGATAAATATATGGCATTTGTCTGTTGGTCCAATCTGTGATGAAATGTCAAAAAAAATCTGTCTTTGCTTATAGTTAATGACCAAATACCCACGAATTTCCCATTAGCGTTTGCTGTACTTTAGCAAATGTTAGCATGCTGAACTAAAGCGGTGAACGTGGTGAACTTTATACCTGCTAAACACTGCAAGCATTTTAGCGCGTTGATGCTAACATTTAGTTCTGCTTCACTGAGCCACTGCTGTAGACTCTTGTTAGACTAAAACATTAAAATATATATATATAATACAGAAAAAAGAAGGCCAATAAACTTGTTGCTTGGTGTAATGTGTGAAACAGGATGTTTCAGAAGGCTTTTGATCAAATTTACTGTATAATAGTAGTTCTTGCACTATAAATACAGGTGTTCAAAGACTTAATGGCACACAATTTGCTGGAAATCATATGTTACAATTTTTTTTGTAGGACATCAAATCCAGTACAATCTGAATGTGCTGAAGGCTGCAGTTAGGATTAATCAGGATACAGTTCCCCTTTAAAAAAAATATTTTTCCATTGATGTGACTGAAGCGATTCCATATTGATTCCTACCATCAAACCATTTGTATCTGAGGCCGTCTCATCTAGGATACCCAAATTTGTGCCCCGTCTTTTTCAGCCCATATTATTTTCCAGTTCAGCCTCACAGGGGAATGACACAGCCTCATCACAGTACTCTAGTGCCTCTAATAGTTGTGCCAGCTGGAGGAAACAGAATATACGTCAGATAAAATGGCAGGGCATTGGATTAGCCGGCTATTTCTGTACCTTGTTGATCAGAAAAACATTGTATACACCAGAGTATTTCGAATAGAGCAGGCGGCAAAGAGAGGAAGAGCAGAGAATCAAATGTCTGGAAGGATACATTAGAAATGCAATGTGGTTGTGTTTGAAAATCTATTTATAACTGTATAATTTCCATGTTTTTCCTGAACTGTACATCACAAACAACTGTTTAAACGGCTTCAAAACACAGATTATTGTAAACTACATTCATCATCAATGACATCAATGACATCAAAAGAGTTGTTACTAAATCAACAGTGAAGATTTAAAATGATTAAGTGAAAATACAACAAGCTTTGGCAACCAGCAGCTATTATTAGAAACCAGATCTTGAAACAGTGTCAGACGACAGTGAGTGACTAGAGAAGTCTGGATATTTTTTCAGCGAATCATACGCAGCAAAATTCTGTCCTAAACCAACAGTAGTAGTCAGATGTAGTCATAAAGTGCTGGAACAAAGAAATAGAGAATGTGGGATATTCTTGAACTGTGCAGTAACAAAAAAGATTTTTTTCCCATTAAAGCACTTACTGGGGAATTTAAGTGGCCATGTACATCATGTTCATTGGCTTTGTCCAGTGTATTCAATATGTGGTGTTTCTGCTGAGGCCAAAAGCAGCAACACATTGTTAATGTACTATATTGCAAACATTAATGTATGATTATCTTGATTTTCTGTTTAAACAGAGGCAAATGCATTCATTTTCTACTTTTCAGGTGATATCCATACACTGTACAAAATAACATTGTGGGCAGATAATAGATAATGTTGTATATTAATTTCACCTGTCCTTCCTTTACAGGAAACATTGTGCCTCACCTCTCGTTTCCAGTTGACACTGACCCTGTTTTGGGCGAAGCTGTCCACTTCCTGTGAGCCTGGTCAGTTTTGTATGAGCCGGGCTGATAGTGTGAAGCCCCTCTGGCTGTGCCCCACCGAGGCATGAGTGTAGGAAGGGCCCACCACCACAGCTTTGTGTCCTGTGAAGAAGAAGGCCTAAGACTAAGTACCATGCCTGCTGTGGGCAGCTTTGGCAATGGCAAGATTCACACGAGACGCAAATACCACAGCCGGTTCGTCAGCAAGGCTGGCCAATGCAACATCCATTTCTCAAACATGGATGAGAAGTCACAGCGATATATATCTGACATTTTCACAACATGTGTGGACATCCGCTGGCGATACATGTTCTTGCTATTCAGCCTGGTGTTTGTGACGTCCTGGCTAACATTCGGCTTGGCGTTCTGGGTCATCGGCCTCCTACACGGTGACATGGAACATCCCGAAGGGGATGACAGTTTTGTTCCTTGTGTCACACAGGTCAACACCTTTGTGGCCGCTTTCCTGTTCTCTGTTGAGACCCAGACAACCATTGGGTATGGTGCTCGCTGTGTGACAGAGGAATGCCCGGCTGCTGTCTTCATGGTGGTCTTTCAGTCCATCATGGGCTGCATCATCGACGCCTTCATGATTGGTGCCATCATGGCCAAGATGGCGAGGCCCAAAAAGCGTGCAGAGACTCTACTGTTCAGCCACAACGCAGTCATTGCTTTACGTGATGGGAAGCTGTGCCTCATGTTTAGGGTTGCTAATCTAAGGAAGAGCCACATTGTGGAAGGTCATGTGCGAGCCCAGCTCGTCAAGCCCCGTTTCACGGAGGAAGGCGAATACATCCCCTTGGATCAGCTTGACATGAACGTAGGCTATGACAAAGGCACGGACCGCCTGTTTCTGGTTGCACCCCTCACTGTCATACATGAGATTGATGAAGAAAGTCCACTGTTTGGCATCAGTAAACAAGATCTCACAACATCTGACTTTGAGATAGTAATTATACTTGAAGGTATGGTGGAGGCCACAGCCATGACGACACAGGCACGCAGCTCTTACCTGCCCTCAGAGATCCTGTGGGGTCACCGCTTTGAGCCCCTCATCTTTGAGGAGAGAAGCCAGTACAGGATAGATTACGCCTACTTTCACAAAACATTCGAAGTACCATCCACCCCCAGGTGTAGTGCCAAGGACATGGAGGACAGAAAATTCCCAACATCTGGCGCCAACTCTTTCTGCTATGAGAACGAGCTGGCCTTCCTCAGCAAGGATGAGGAGGACGAGGGAGATGTGGACAAAGAGGAAAACAGGAAGTGTTCATCGGAGCTAGTGAATGAACAGGGAGGTGATCAACAGTCCTCCCGTAGAGAATCGGCGATTTAACCTTTGGCTGTTGCTGGTTTTATTTGCTTTTAGATGCAGAGCAATGCAAGCGTTTGAAGAGACCTATGACTGTCATGCTACTGATATGAGGATACCTGTACAGGTGGAGAAACAGCAGTACTGATCTCCAACAGACAAGCAAGGATGAAACTCATCACATTTCTCATTGGATTAACTCTGGCTTCCCTGGGATGGTTATTGAGTCATGTTTCAACTTGCAGATGATCCTAGTAGTAAAGTGCATGGCAATAACATAGTTTTGTATGAATATTTTGAGAAATGTTTCATAGTTTTGGTAGGTGCTGTTCACAGTTCTTAAAATATACAATTTGCCACTGAGTGTAGAATGACAGTGACACTTTGAAGATTGTGTTAAGAAAACTAAACCTTTGGGATATTTCTCCAGATTAGTTTGGTAAGATCAACAGTGGATTTTCCTCTTCATGATATAACTTATATGAACAATAACACTGACTATTCTACATCATACAATGTCAATGGATGACTTGGTTAGTTGGCATACATACATGGACTACATGTAACTATAACACATGACAAGGTATAGTTTTAAATATTTCCATCACAGAAAGGGAAACACACACTTGATGGTGATCATACGTCATTTATTAAAAGGAAAACTATTCATCTCTGTCTTTACGTTTCAACCAGAGGAAAACATTTGACCGGAGGAGATGGAGTAGATTTATTTCTCAACAGTTTGGCAGAAACATTTTGTATTTTGCAAAACAATGGGTCCTTGATTTAATGGGTCCTTGATTTATACATGTACTGCTGCAGGTCAAAACGCCATCATCACCACCTGTTTTAATCTAAAAAAAGAAGAAGATTAGAATCAGCCAAAGACAGATAACGAGCCTCTGGATGTTCAGCCCTTTCTGTAACATCGGGACATGAACACACAGCAAGAACAGTAGAATCCAACTCTGACCCTCTCACATATTGGTAATCAAATACTTTGCACATAATTTTGAGTGCCTCCACAAAAGTGTCTATCACATGCATAACTCGTGGGAGACAGAGTGGAGCATTGCATCACATCAGTGATCTATATTAAGATAAAAGGCTAAATCCACCCTGACACACAAAGTACAGTACTGAGAATATCTCTGCAAGTTCTTGAAAGTCTATATGAAGCCAAAATATGAATAACCCTTCAATGTTTTAAATGTTCAAGGGACATGTTTCTCACATTAACATATTTTTTAATCACTTGTGAAAAAAACTAAGCCCTAGCAAGATCGTATGACGTGTCTTATACGACAGCATTGAGTCAATTACCTTTATACATTGCAGGTTGTTATTGACTTTGAATGAAGTGTGTTTTACGATGCCTTACATTGGTGTCTAGATTGGGGTTTAGCCAATTGTGGGTTGTGTTCATTCAATCCCACAATACAGCTGTGGTCGTTGCAGACACACCTGGTGAGTACACATCTCTAGTTGAATTTGGTTCTAGTATTGAATCCACTGATGGCATATAATGGTTTATGTTGTTTTTCTGTGCTCTTTTGACCAGAGGCATTAGTCTCTTTCTTTTTTTAAATATTAATAGGACAACGAGTAATAAAGATGTTAGGTCAGAATGTGTACCACCAGGTGAATTAGTTTTCCCTCCGCATTTCTCAAACAAAAAACTCCAAGTGGGTTAATTTATACACCCGACTGCCATTTCAACGAATTCCAACACATTTGTATTTATATCCTGCTGACTTGTGCTGAAGTTATAAGAATGGGCTCGCTCCAGGTAAACAAATAGTGGTTCTACTGCCATTTCAACCAAGAGCAGGTTTAGTAAGACTCATTTGTACATTTGTTAGACAGCTATTGTAAATAAATTATTATTACTTTGGGTTTTATGATGTTTCTGGCTGAATAGACAATAAGTTATGATGCATTGTTTTAAAAAACAGTGTTAATAACATACATTTTTCGATCAAAGCAAGAAACTGGAGATTTCTCTTTGCTTGATGGACTGAAATAACAACTGAATTGAACGATCTCTTCTTGTCTTCCACTAAATGCATATAAAGCAATCTTGACCCTGAGTTGCACTTTGTTTTCTCCTGAAAGGGTTTTAATTTGTTGTGTGTGACAACAATATATAAATTGACAGACAAATAAAAAAAAACTCCTGCTGATTTCCACAATAAAAAATATCTCACAAAGTCAACAGTTTTCTTTTTACTTCATGGTAGACGGACACAAAATGCAGGGATTATTTTACAATAAGCATCTGCTGAATGCATTTCAAGTCATAACAAATAAATGCTGTAGGGAGCTGTTTGATAAACACAGAGGAATGGACAGTCATGTATGGCTGTGATTTGGTCACACGGTATCGGGTTTGAGTCAGAGGTTTCTTATTTCCCTCTTATGTAACCAATCAGGCATGTGTTTAGGTACAGACACGACTTGGCAGTCCTTGATTTCCCTGCCCTGTGTCCTTGAACATCGGAAAAGAGATCTCATGCACCCAAGCACACCCAAACAACTTACACACACACACACACACACACACACACACACACACACACACACACAAACTTAAACCTTTGGCTGAATTGTCCAAAATATGTGTTGGCTTGTGAAGCATGACATCTATATCAGCTGACAGTTTCAATAACTGAAATACTTGACCAGAGCAACAAAGGCATGATCTCAGTTTCTACTAATGGGAAATGCGTAGAAGTCCTTTAAAATGAGCAAATATAAGTAGAATATCACCGTGCCTGTGTGTTGGAGGTATACGACTATCCAAGCATAATGTTACTCAGATCTGGTTTCATTTAATTACCATTTAATACGACCTATCAGCTAAAGAGCTAAAGAGTGGGTGTGTGAGATATTAAACTGTTATCCTGGCATCAAATCCCATCACAGTGGCATTTAACAGAATAAACTGTTCTTCCCTTTCATGCATTTAACTTTCAGGAAGATATCTTGAGCGCCAAATGAAAGTCTAATTTCATTCTGTGCTGTATTCTTTGAGATGTGCTGCGTTATGGAAGGAGCACTGAGAATAGACTGGGATGCTTGCCACCCACTCGGCAGTGTTGGAGGATGAAGAAGACGTGGAGGGGTCAGTCTTCCAACATGCAGAGTGGGTTGTTGAAAGGCAAATTTGGCCTTAATTGCAGCAGTTCTATTCTCGCTGGTTTCCCTCAGCTGCCAGAGGGAGGTGGAGAGTGGAAAAAAGTAACATGATGCAACAGCTGCTCTTCCTCTCCTTAAGCCATAACTCCAGACATTTTAGATTCAAATTATATTATTCCTGCATTTTGTGTTAACTAACCATTTCAACTTTTTTCACTTCAGGGCTACTGATGGATGAAAATATTGCATATCCGGAGTTTCAACTTTTTAGGAACTGACAAAAAAGACAAGAAAGTTTTGACTGGATTGTTTGATTGATGAAAACATGCACATATTTATCTTCAGGGCCAATGGACCAAAAGCTCCCAAAAGCTTCCAAAAGCAAGGTCTGTTCAATAATTTCAATGATACAATATGTAGAGTAAAAGCTGTACATGTCTTTCTAATAAAGTTTAAATATACCTTGGCTATTGTTTAAATACAGTCATACTCTGCTGTAATTATTGTCATGGATAAGCTAAAACATGTCAATTGGATGTTTTGGGTGCTATTTGGCTCATTAGTGTGTTTCTTTTAGGAATGTAACCATTTATAGACAAGACTCAGATGTAAAGAGCTTTTGCTCAAGGTCAGTCAGTGCGTCCATGTTGAAGACTGGCTGGAAATACGTGACATCTCATCAGGACAGAACAAGTCAAGGAAACCAGTATTTTCGTGATATTATATTGCAGTTTCCCGTTCCATTCACAGCTAAATCGGATAGCTGAGGCAGTGCCGTGTTATTCTTTTGAGGGGTGTGGACAGCTCAAATGTTTGAGAAGGGAACTTGTGAATGGAAGATCGCTGGTTAGAAAAACCCACCTTGACTTGGAAAATGTGACAGAGGAAACAGACGTAACTGTCCCAAGTGAAGCTACACAGAGGAGACCGTGTGAATGTTCTTTACTTTCAAAAACAGAAGAAAAATCAATGTACAAAAACGTGCAGACAATGTCGTCTGTACACAAAATAATATATGATATGAAAAACAAATTATAGTGTGTTATAGAACATATTTATTAACTCAACACACTGCTGTGTTATAGTGGTGAAAGTACATATTCTTAAGTGCTGCGTGTACTTAAATACAATTTTGAGGTATTTGTACTTTACTTGAGTGTTTTCATTTTCTGAAAATTTATATTTCTCTGTGATGACCACGAAGTTATATTTCATGACCCTGATCGGTATATGAAACTAGTTTTAACTTAATCAGCTGCAACAGTTGAGTGATGCTTAACAATGATGCATCAGCCTTAGTAATCTAATAATAACATTTATAATAGTATGTCGCTCAGAAGGGCTCTGTTATTCAAGCAATAAAACTAATAATGTTGCTGACGTTTCTAATGCCTTTGATATGTCCACATTGTGAGGTTGTTGTGACCAACATGAACATGTGAAGAACATGTAAACAACATGTGAACAACATGGGAACAACGCGTGTGTTGACATGATTCAGTCACAGATGAACTCTGGCTCGAACCAGAATTCTTTTAGAGAGACAGTAAAAACCATGTACTGTATCACTGACCACCAGTATATACTCGTGTTTACTGTCTGCTCATAGAACTTATTTTGCTTATGGAGAGACATTCATCGTCCAGCTGAGCACATCACTCAGTAGTACTAGCAGCTCCTGCAGACATACAGTATTTGATTACAGCAACAGGCTGATTGGATTACAGGAGGTACCGATTCAAATACCTACAGCAGACACAGAGCAACTGGAAAACCAGCGAGCAGAGAGGAGACCAAACATTCACACAAACACCAACATGTTCAGCCCGGATTATCACATAAAGGACGCTATACCTTCAAAAACTATTAGCACTTATTAAGTTCGATGTCAGCCATGCTCTTCTCTCAGGCTGACGCTGCTTGTCATCTAACAGAGATGTGCTTGTTCACACTTTGGTGACATTAGTGGAGTGAATTGTTTAACTGAATATGTATTTCTTAATTTTATCATTACATTTCAGAATATATTACAGTAATAGTTATAATATATAAATATTATCAAATATTCTATTATTTGTGCAATACTTGTCTTAAACATTTCTGTAAAGGAATTCTTGATCTTGCATGCATGACAGGAGAGAAAGACCCACTTTATATCCGTCACCTCTCAGGACACCATGCTGAGGATGAGATCAGGTTATTTCATATTTCGAAACATCTTCACCCAGAGAACAAATGGAGTTGATAATCATAAATACATCAACCACAAACTGTAGAATGAAGGTGTCTTAAGTTACTAGTGAATTTAACTTGTTTTCACAGGTCATCACAAAGGATAGTTGAGAGACTCCTGACTCCCTAACTATTGATAATTAATAATCATTTAGCAAATAATGAAGCACCTCTTTGCTGCCCTCATGTGGCACATTCGTCTTGTATCATGCAAATATTACAGGCCTTTTACACAGAAGACATTTTGACTTGCCAGAGTAGGAAAGATAACAGGTGTAAACAATGAAATCAATAGCGGCTGATTTCAATTTAGCTGCTTTGATTTCAGGTTCCTGTTTGGTTCATGCTGGCTCACTGTCACAGACGTTTGAATAGAACTGATCCATCGTTAGTCTTATTAGAAACAGCTGCGCTTTTCCTAATGTGAAAGGTCAACATGTTTGTAAGTCTTTAGCTACAGATTTATACATTAAGATTCTGTACGAAAGTGACATGGAAATATATTTCTTATTTATAGTATTTTGTTCTTTTTTTGTGTGAAATTGATTTTGCTAACAAACAAAGGAGGCATTATATTATTAAATACATTTTATTACATAAATGGCATAATTCTGACAGTCTGGCATTTTAACATAAAGACAGAGATAAACATATCAGATATTTTGGTTGGGTGAACCTGCACAACAGAGCCACAAATTCCTTTCAGTCCTTCCCTGTTTGAAGTTTGTGTAATGGTTTATGTACTTTATTTGTAGATTTCTGTAATTATTTGACCAGACACAGACAACCACACACCCTTCCTCCATGACCCCCCCCTCCCCGAGCACCCTCCCCCTAGCCCAGTCCTCTGCAGTTTCCCTTCAGCCCCAGTTGGACTGGTCTTCATCTTTAGCCGCCAGGATGTCTGTGACCAGGCCGGTGCCGATGGTCTTGTTTCCGTCTCTCAGGGTGAACCTCTGGCCTTTTTCCAGAACCATTGGCTGGCGGAGCGTGAGCGTCAAGGAGGTGTCCTCGCCTGGCATTACCATTTCCTGAACGAAGACGAGAGCAACAGACAGGAGAGTGGTTACTGTCCTTCATTTACTGTCAAACTATTTTTACAGATTCGACCTGAAACATCATGACGCACACGATGTTCACAACATGCCCTAGCTGGGTGAACTGTTGTGGACGGGATTTCATCTTAAAAACTACAGTATTTGAGAAACACACAAACCTTGTCATCGGGCAGCGTGACTCTGCAGGCCATGTCCCAGGTTAGAGAGAACATGACGGGCATGAAGTTGGTGACAAACGGTTTGTGTCTGCCTCCCTCCTCCTTACTGAGAACATACACCTGGAATACAGGAAGCACAAACACGTCCACACGCACATCAGAGTTCAGGTTACGGGATGCAGTGAGTTATGCATTTTATGGGTTACAATAGCAAAAACTAAACAAAAAAAATCACTTAAAACTATGTTTTGTTTGTGAGCAGATAGACAGCGTCAGTAACTCAGTGGATGACCTCAGTCATTACTGTGGCATCTGCCTGGTCTCCCAGTTTGCCTGTAAATCTGTTCTTTGGCCATTACAATTATTTACAATCATGTAAGTGCCTTTGTCCTGTCTCCACTTACAAATTAGCCATTTAGATTAATTGATTGTTCAGAAATAATTCAAAATGAGTCAGTAACAACGGCAACTTTGTGCTCTCAGACCTGGGCCTTGATTGTCTGGTATGGCATGATGGATCCTGGTTTGCACATCACCATCCCTCTCCTTATGTCCTCTCTCTTCAGTCCTCGGACCAGAGCGCCCAGGTTATCTCCAGCTTCTGCCCGGTCCAGAGACTTGTGAAACATCTCAATACCTGAGCAAAACAGGACGAACAGCAAGGTGAAATTCTTGTGTGTACACCAACAGTCATACAGTACTACATAAACTTGAACTTGAACTCACCAGTATCAGACTGATGCTCAGCAGCATTTTTAGATCAGAAACTCATCATATAGGCATCTTTATCAATGTATAAAGTGCCAGAGGACACTTAAAAAAAGGCAGACAGGTGTCAAATAAAACCATCAGGTCATACATTTTAGGACGCGTGTGGACCCCTGAGGCTGTGTGAACTCTGATCATTATTTAAGATAAACACATCTCCCATAGAGAAGGTGTTCAACTGTGCACATATCTTGAGAAGGCCATGACATATGATTCACATACTTATCAAACTTTCAGTCCTCATGCCCTGTATGGAAGCATCTGCATTTCCCCTTTAATATGTCACCTGGTGATTCATATGCTTTGTAAACAGCACAGGAGCTCCTTCTCTGAGTTTCTGTTGCTTTTTCCTTTCACTCACCTGTAACCACTGACTTGAAGCTGCGATTGTGGCCCACAAACTCACAGTCGTCTCCTTTCTTGATGATACCCCTCTCCATAGTGCCTGTCACCACAGTACCTCTGCCTGAAGGACACAAATGATAACACTCAAATTTAAAGCAAGTAACTTTTTAGCATCACCACCATATGACTCGTTTTTGAGACTCTGCATTTTATAGCCAGCAAATCAGTAAAATGTTACGACTAAATACAGGGAACTACATAAAAGTTGCAAATTCATTACAACTAACTATTAGGCTGCATTCTTTATAATGTCTTCATACCTGGGATTGAATAAACCCCTTCAATGGGCAGAAGAAAAGGTTTTTCGAGCTCTCTTTTGGGGAGAGGAACGTAAGAATCCACAATGTCCAGCAGATTCATCACTGCATTTACACCAAGTTCAGGCTCTCTGTTCTGAGATGGAGCAAAACAAAGATTCAGTCAGTTCTCAAACAGATGCTTCACATCAGAGACTCAAAATGTACTGACAGATCAGCACAGTATTAACTAAACTGTGAGACAAATGGCTGCCAGCGGTCCCCTTACCTCCAGGGCGCAGAGGGCTGAGCCTACCACAACAGGCGTGTTCTCGCCATCATAGCCAAACTCTGTGAGCAGCTCGCGGATCTCGATCTCCACCAGCTCCACCATCTCCTTGTCCTCCACGGCGTCGGCCTTGTTAATGAAAACCACCACATGATCGACACCAATCTGCCTGGCCAACAGGAGATGCTCTCGTGTCTGAGGCATCTGGCCGTCAGTGGCCGCCACCACCAGGATGCAGCCGTCCATCTGAGATGTGCCAGTAATCATGTTCTGAAAAAAAGAAACAGTCCAGGGTATTTAAAAGGGGATTAATTACCTTTTTAAGTAATTTATAAGGTAAATAATTACGCTTGACGTGCTTAAAGAGAAACAAGGATCCTAAAAAGCTAAAATAAGTTGCATCATCAGGTTGGCTGCAGGTGCTTTGTAGAAGTAAAGCAGATTACCTTGACATAGTCGGCATGACCAGGACAGTCTGTGTGAGCATAATGTCTGTTGGCTGTGGTGTACTCCACATGAGAGGCGTTGATGGTGATTCCTCTCGCCTTCTCCTCAGGGGCATTGTCAATGTCTTCATACTTTTTAAAGTTCGCACCACCGGCGTCAGAGAGCACTGAGGACCCAAAAACACAGCAAGGTCACAATTCTGATTTCTTGTTTCACAACACTGGAGAAATGAGACCTTTGCCATAAGTCAGTGGAGCCATTTAAGTCTCTAGATCAAATCAAATGTTTCAGTGTGTTGGATTTAAAAGCTGGGACGTCAGTGTTTTTTTACCTTTTGTGATGGCTGCAGTCAGGGTTGTCTTGCCATGGTCAACGTGGCCAATTGTTCCAATGTTGACATGGGGTTTTTCTCTGCTGTATGTCTTCTTAGCCTCTGCAGCAAAGGTTCGCCGACTCAGACGCACAGCAGACTACATGACAAAGACAAAGCCAGGAATTATACAGAAGCAAAATCCATGTTAAAACAGTCTGTACACTGCAGTTTGTGGACACACTCACCAATTTCAAGGAGCTGTGCAGGAGGCCTGGCGAAGACAGCTGAAGGGCTGTGACGAGGGAATGAAAAGATGAGAATAATGTAAATTCAGATCATTGACAGGATAATCCAGGAGAAGTATTTTATCCTATAATCCCCAACTACATGTTCCAGTTTCAAAATACAAGAATACAAGCCATTTTAGCTTCATGACAGGCAATAAACTATTATTTTCTATTTCAGTCTCACTGCAAAAATGTCCCACAGCCACTCAACCTGACCAGCAGGCTGTCAGTGTCTGAACATGTTGTTGCTGCCTATTCAATTTATGTGTCAAATAAGCCAAAAGGTAACGCATGACTGTCATTATAATTACAAACATTATTTATTTAGTCCTCAGCTAAAAGCAACCATGCAGCACTTGACATTAAGCTAACGAACCAGTAAAACCAGGAGACTCAACGATGTCATTCTCCTCCGAATAAGCGACTGTTAGTTATTCAAACAGTGAGCTTCGGTAGCTTTACAGCTTTCTATAATATAATCAAGTTTCACTAATCATCAGTCAGTCCTCATCCTCGGCTAGCTGTATCGTTAGCTAAAACGCATTGGTAACGTGACCTTGCTCTGCTATCGAATAAACAGTAGCATCTAATTTTTTAAGGTAGATTATGTTTCCACAAGAGTAAAAAGCATCTTCTGCAAGTGCAGAACAAATCGGGTGCTATGAATATACAAAAATGCATTTAGAGTCGGTAAGTACAAGAGAATTAAACAATTTTACCGGAGAAACATGCACGCAGACCCACAAGCGCCGCCATCTTGGATGGTTAAGCAAGCCAAAGAGCAGCAAAAGATGAAGAGAGTACCACACCAGTTCCATACGGAAGACACAAATTGCTGTTTTTTATTTTATTACAACGGTATATTAGGTAACAATTAAACTGGTATAATAAGATAATTACCAAACTGTTGGTTTTAAGATACATACAACAAATCTGACCGGAGTAGTTAACGTTAGGCTTTGAAAACTCTCCAACTCGCTTAATGTATCTATTTGGTGCAGAAATGGGTTTTTTTCACGCTTTCAACGCATGTGTTACCCCCCCGACCATGAACGGGATAAGCGGTTAGAGATGGAGTGGATGGATATTTTAATACTGGTATTTCATATCTAAAACTGTTACTGTTACTTCGTTTGAGGAAGAAGAGATTCACCAGATGTAGTCCTCTCTGTTACTGAAACTCTCTGAACATCGCGCATGCGCGTCCAAACGGCAAGGATTTACCGTAATGACGCTAATATGGAGGAGTTTGCTGTTGTACCTTTCAAAAGCTTTTGGTTGTATTACTGTGAGCTTTGCTACATTGTCATTTTTGTAGAACTAAATCAACAATGTGAGGACTGAAATGACTTAGCGTTGAGGAAAGACTTCGGCGAAAAACATTTTGCTTGTCAGTTTGGTTCAAGGTTTACGGTACATCATGGCAGCCTGCTCGCCACTCGTGCGTTCAGCTTAACGCTAGCTAGAATGTTCTAGCACATTCATGTTAATCTGTGTAAAGGGGAGCTCACGTACTTTAAAAGACTCAGTGAGTGTGTCCATTTCTTCAACACTGTTTATAGGACTTGTGTAAAGGTATGTTGTGTAAAGATGAAGGTTTGAGTAGGGATGCTGTGTTTGTTTTTTAAATTATTATTACTATAAATAGTGCCTAGCCAATGCTAGCATCTTTATATTAAAGGTCAAGGTTAAAAACTGTCTGCTGGGTTTGGGACTTATATTTACGGCCATGACTGCTGCTGCATGTCAACTCTGAATTAAGTTGTCCCTGTCCCGTTTGTTTTGATGTCTTGTTTCTTAGCTTAGCGGTGCACATCATGGCAGAAGACAAACCAACCAGGAAATATCCCCAAAACCTCCAGGGGGTCCTGCTTCTGGCAGTGGATGCTGGATCAACCACAGAGGGACCTGACCCTGTTCAGCCCATGTCAGAGGAGGTAAGGGTCTGTTAAATGTACATTTCAAACCTGAGAGGGCTTTGGGCGAACACCTCGTTGGGTCCTCACAGGACCAAAGAACGGTCTAATAAGGAGCATGTGTTCATAAAAATGGATGATTGATGAACTTCTTTAACTTTTGGACTCATGATGAAATGTTTTAAAAGGACAGTACCCGTTTTTATTTGTATCCATGAAGACCTCTACCTTCCATCAAAGGTAATTGTGACACATTGTTCTACTAGTACTCTCTTTGTTACAGAGGAAAATCTGGCTGAGAGGTGCTCTATCAGAAGTCTGCAAAGGGCAGATGGATGAAGTGGAGCAGATAAAGCAGTGCTTGGACATCTTACGCCAGGAGGGAGTGAGTGAAATGGAGAGAGAGGTAGAAGATGAGAGGGATGAAGATGTGCGAGAAAAAGCCTTTGAGGTGATGTCAGAGTTGTGTGAGAACCTGGACAATGCAAGAGGTTTGTAATGAATAGTATTCGATTTTTATTGATCAGATGTCAGCATGGACCTCGAACCAATAGCTACTGAGAGGTTATGACTACAAATACTATTTGTTGTCTCTATCCTGAGTGTGTACCCTGTTCCTCTGCTTCACAGACCTAATGACTCTTGGTGGACTGGACCTGTGTATCTCTCAGTATCTGTGTCATGCCCAAAGTGGACTGAGGTGGCGTGCTGCCCAGCTCATCGCTTCCTGTGCTCAGAACATGCCGGAGGTGCAGGTCCACTTATATGGCCTCGGGGCGCTGGCAAAGCTGCTGCAGCTGACAGACTCAGACCCCCACCCCACCGTCAGAGTAAAAGCCCTTTACGCTGTGTCGTGTGAGTATCTTGGACAGAGCTGCAAACTTTACTACAAAACACATTATTTCTCAATACTGTCTACTTGAAACTAGCTAGTAATGATACTGACTAGTAGTTTAATCAGAAGCGTTAATGGTTCTTTTGACAGCATTGAAGCAGAGCGTGTAAAGCATTTGGACTAAATTGTAATGCTGCCTGCATTCAGGATACACTACACCTCAGGACAGAACTGTAACTTTCTCTGGTTGTGACTTTAGGTCTGATTCGAGAGCAGGAGACAGGACTCCAGGAATTCTTGTCCCATGATGGCATCTCGGTGCTGATGCGAGGCATGCAATCGGACATCGAGAAGCTCAGGGCCAAGTCTGCATTCCTTCTGCTCAATCTGCTGACGTCACATCCCGAACAGAAAGGTACGAATGAGAGAAGCATCGAAACGGTACAGTGCCCTTAAACAAAGCTGTGGGTTTTTTTCATTTTATTTTCTGTCAATCAGGCTTTCCTGGTTAAATAAAGGTATAAAAAAACAAGATAAAAATCCAAGCAGTTAATGTAATAAACCACACTGAGTTGAGTCACAATAGATCAGTTTTAGTTAGTTAATTAGGTTGGATGTTAAATTAGGGCATCGGTCCCTATGCCCAATTTCTGCTCTGATCACAGACACTATAGATGCTGTACGCACAGTTACAGTTGGGGATGCATTGATGTGACTTTCTCAGTCCCGATACTGATATCTTTATGTTTCCTCCGTCCTGCAGACACAGCGGTCTCCATGGGTATGGTACAGCAGCTGGTGTCTGTTCTCCGCACACCACACTCACCTTTCCATGAACACGTGCTTGGCGCCCTTTGCTGGTAAGAAACACTCTCTACCTTTCTGTCTCCAGTACTCGCAAGTGACAACAATTCATGGTACACATTAGTAATCGCACCCTTTTGTGTGTCTGATATCTGTCTAGTCTGGTGGAAGACTGTCCACAGGGTCTCAAAGACTGCAGGGATCCTGCTCTGGGTCTGAAGGATTTAATCAGACAGCAATCCAGAGAGCTCCAAGGAAAAGAAGAGAGTGAGGTATATGAAGATGTGAGCCCGATGGTGAAACTGGGTTAAAGTATTGTGGGAATTCAAGACTCAAATTTAGCAGAGGAGTTGTCTGTTCTCGTGTATAAAACTACTACTGCACGACTGCAAAATCTACAGTAGTGATTCTATCAAAAAGCAACCAACTGTTGACTATATACATTTTTAATTACTAACTAGATGCCACCATGTCGATACTTGTAGTGAATTTTAATTCTATTCCAATGAAGGTATTAGTTTTAAAATCAATAGTCTAGGCTTAGTCCTTGTCCAGGAAAGCTTCTAAAGCCACATTTTTGTTTCCAAACAGGAAGAACTGGACTTCTGGGAGCGCTTGAGGGTTATTTGTTTCCAACAGTCGGATGACAATGGGATGGATCGCTGAAGTCTTATTGACCTCACCTGTGTTGGTGTCACTGTGCAAAGATGTAATGGAACATTCATGATGTGGGTCAAGACGGATGCTGTCCATATGTTGTATGTCATGCAGGAGCTGGATTTTACTGTAGAAATAATTATAATGTATAAGCTGTCATTTTAGTCCAGTCTTTTCAGCTCTTCATAATATCAAACCAAATACCAAACTCCATCACGGGTAGTATGTTATGTATTTCAACTGTTAATAGTTACATGTGCAACTTATCTTTAATTGTTGTAGGTCAGGTTTGTCTGAAGGTAAAGTATTTCCATTTAATTGTAGTTGATTGTCTCTTGAATCAGGACAGAATCCTTGTTTATTTTACACCATATTTATTTATTATTAACAAAACAAATTGGTCTTTGTTATATATACATAAAATGGCCAGCTGACATGTGGAAAACATGCAAAATCTACACAAACATTGATGTCATACAAAATAAAAATATTTTGGCACAAATCACAGAATATAGATATTCTTCTAACCAATATTTGTGGAGTTTCTTTTAGTTTGTAGACTGGTATTTTAATATGTTGAGTATTAGTATGATTATTCAAACGTAAGCTGTAAACACATTTAAATATCTTGACTTTGCAAGCTGCTCTTTTACTCCATCTTTGGCACTAGCAAGAAGCCTTCAAGTGCTGACAGTAGTGTCCTTCTGTTCTCCTCTTTACTTTATTTAATGGGTTCATATTAGAAACTCCAAGACCTAAAGGATTTATAAGTTAAATGATTTTACCAGGGTGATGGAGATACTTCAGACTCGAGTGACACTGTTTAGGAACTCTTCCATTTTGCAAAGTCCTCCTTGTTCATTGCATTTACATCGCCCACAGCTATTAGTAGCTGTGCCAAATAATATGTGACCATGACAAGAGCGTTACCGTGCTCCATTGGTGCAGTCACCTTAAAAACTTGCAGAGCCAGCGACACATCAGACACCATGAAGAACAAACCTCCTAACAGTGTTGCCACATTGCGGGTTCTGATAGCTAATGCCCCCATTAGAACAATTAAGACAATGTAGACCCCCACAGCTGGAAGCAGTGTATCGGAGTTTGGCGTCTTCTGCAGGAACGGATATATGTAGATGTAGAAACCTCCTCCCACCGTGAACAGGATCAGATACAGAGAACGAGTCCAGAAGGAAGAGGAAGAAGAGTATGCCGTGTAACGACTGGAGAGGAAGGTGAATGAGTACAGCATATGAGCCACAGCAAATGCACCCATTCCTGAAACAGATGTGTGAGATGTTAAGGACAGGTATCTTTGCATCTTAAATTTAGAAATTTAAAAAGGGTTATTTTTAAAATTACATTTATCATATAGGCAATGCACATATATTCTCTAATTATAAAGAAAACAACTTAAGTTGCAATTTGAAAATGCCTCAATTTGTGCTTCACTCATGTACTACATAAAGAATCTGTGGACAACGGGACAAGAACTGCGTTCCAAATGGCATACTTTTCCTTTTAGTACATACTGCTGCATGCAGTATGCATTCATCTGAGACATACTACTTCCTCATAACATGGCACCTTGAACAGAATTTTAGCCCCTCGGGTTAGGGTTAGGCTTATCCATCGCCAGACCGAGTGCAAACTCTTACCATGCAGAAAAAGCTCAGGCCATACCAGGCAGCAATCACCAACAGCAGAGAATAGCAATCCTCCCACCACACCCAGGACACTCTGACCTCCATTCCAGCTCAGCACTACTGCAGCCAATAGGAGTGTTGGTGCTGATTTGACACCTGCAGATATGATGGATGCGGTTGAGTCAGGTGTCCACAGGTAGAAGAACACAGCTGCAGACAAAAAGAAAGGCAAGAGAGAAAGAAAAAGAGCACAGGACTAATAGAGAGGGAGGAACAGAAAGAAACGGGGAGACAAGTCACAACATGAATTAGGCTGAAATTATGAGTTTTATCTTTTCCACATAGAGAAAGTTGTTGTATGTTAAACAACTATTGACTATAAATAAATGATTTTTAGGTACCGTGTTTCTCCTCTTCCGCCTGTCATAGGCATCTGTCTCAAGGATGTCCATCATCTCAGAATCAACACTGTCGTGGACTCCAGCAGATCTCTCAGTTGGATGAACCTGTCTGGTCTTGACACCTTCTACTTTCTTCTGTCTTTGCTTTCCTGTCGTCACATGTAGTCCTCAGATGCTCTCGCCTCGTTCTCTTCTGTCTCGGATCTCTGCCACGTCTCTCAGTCTGTTGCTATTTCATAGCAATGAACTTTGGACCGATCTTTGCTGTCTGATTACTCTCTGATAATCAATGTTCTCATGGACAAACATCTCACCTTTGACCTTTTCAGCTATTTATTGCCGACATTAACTCATGAGGAGCAAAGTTGAACTAGTAGAAAACTCATATGATAAAGGTTGATTTCTAACTTGTGAACTTATGATTATTGTTGGTAATGACAAATTATTAATGGCCAGAAAGGGACTTCCTTTGGGAAAATCGTTGGTTCATATCTCTAAACCTGGGATGCAACATGAGCAATTCATCTCTGCCACTATGACAAGAGTGGCAAGGCTGGCAACTTAAACTCTGACACGACTCTATTTTCAAAACTATTAAATGTGAAAGCAAAACGACCTGCTGCTGTACAGGATTATTTTCCAACAAATGTAATACATAAATGTTGGGGCTGATAATCTCGAAGAAATAAATTGATTTCACATTGCGTTGTTCGAGGGTCACTAGATGTCCACACTGCTTCAGATTTCTCCAAAAATGAATTGTTTCAATGCATCTGGATTTGAAGTTGTTTAAATGGATGGAGGAGGAGCTCAGCATGTAATCCATTCCACACGTTGAAGAACTAACAATGATTAACTATGGCCTCTCTGAGTCGAACTTTGTACTGTGCTTGCTCACAATTCCTGGAGTCGTGGTCCGGTTGTATGCTTCACGTTGGGAGTAACACAGCTCTGCTGGGGTTTGGCATTATCTGGTGAGGAGAGCAATGAATAATATACTGGTACAGATAGGAAGTAGGGTCAAAAGCATATGTGTATGTGTGTGTGTGTTGGTTTGTGTGTTCAAGTTGCAGGTGAATGTTCTTTTCCCAGCATGTTTCTTTTGTCAGCACAGGACATGGCAACCAGCTCTTCCTCCCAAAGGATTGGGGTTGTAGGCTACGGACATCTAGGTCTGAACTCTCCCTCTCATACTGCAGACACACTTTCTGACATAAAGCCTTTAGAGTCTTTTGTTTAGCTCTATTCCTCACGTGTGGGTGTGTGTGCTTCAGGGCAGTATCTGGTGGAGAGGATCCTTAAAGATGGAGCTGCTCTCGGTCTAACACTGGCTTTCGTTTGGAACAGAAATTCTGACAAGCTCAAAGGTTTCGTTCCTGATGAACTTATACTTGGTGACCTATCATCCTTTGCAGATAGGTGCAATAACACACATATGTAATATAAACCCATATGCATAACACCAGTATTTGCATCTTATATGATCTCTGTGCTAGACAACATGCATGACAACGTTTTAGAAAACTTTTTTTGTAAAACTGTTTTTTCTTTTTTACAGGCGATGTGATGTGATTGTAGAGGTGTGCCATCCACAGATAGTGAAAGAATTTGGCTTTCAATTCCTGTCTCAGTCTCATTTCATGGTAAGCTTCTCCTCTGTTTGTGTGGGAAATATGGTTGCTGCAAAACAGAGTATTTCTTTTTTCTTTCTTTTTTAGCATTTTATGTAGAGATATATTATCCTTAATAAATCCTTTGCTTCTTATGTTCCTGCTCCTTAACTGTAAGAAGACTAAAACAGATATGAGTAAGACAGGTGACAAGGTGTATTAATGTTTATAAGTGAGATTTTTATTTTGATTAACTGGACAATGGTCTTTTCTAAAAAGGATATTTAGTTGTTAGTCTTTTGGGTTTTCTGTATTTTAAGGATTGTCAGTATGTTTGGCCAACTGTCAACATGGTACTATTGTTTTCTTTTGTTGTCTCCAACAGATGATCATTTTATTCTTAAAATCAAATCGGCACTGCATGGATCCATTACAGAAAATGAGAACACATAAGCTAACACAAACTTTCAGCAGTCTGTTAATCACAGAATTATCACATCCTCTTTTGTGCCTTTTTTTTCTCCTCCTCTCAGGTGGGCTCTCCTTCTGCTCTCTCTGATCCTGATCTGAACCAGAAGCTGCATCAGGCGGCTCAACAGTATGGTAGGACGCTCTACGTCCCCAGTGGTGCATTGTGGGGAGGCCAGGACATCCAGAGGCTGAATGACAGTGGAGCCTTGAAGGTACAATAACACTGGGGCAGTGCAGGTGTGGTGTTAGCGAAAGGCATGCAGTGGCCACCCTTCACATGGTTTAGACTTTGAGAATGAAAGTGCAGCTTGCAAATGGCAAATAAACTATTATGTTGTACTTGACTTGTTTTCAGGCTTTGTTTATAAGAATGTCCAAGCATCCATCCTGCTTCCGGCTGACTGGAGATGTCCTCTCTGATTGGACGGAGGAAGAGGGCAGGCGTGTTTTATTCAGAGGCTCAGTGGCAGAGTTGTGCCCACTTGCTCCTAACAACGTTAACACCATGGCAGCAGCAGCAGTGGCAGCAGGAACACTCGGCTTTACTGGTGTTCAGGGAGAGATCGTGTCCGACACAGCGTGAGTCTTTCTAAAAATCAGATTGAGCGAATGCAGCCTTTCATATGTTTAAATCCCACTGTTCATACCTCTTTATGCCCCAGGTTAAGTGACTATCATGTGGTGGAGGTGGAGGTGACTGGGCCCAGTGGCTTTTCAGTACACACAGTGAGGAGGAATCCAGCCAAACTCGGAGCTGTAACCGGCAGTGCAACATACAACTCCTTCTGGAATAGTTTACTAGGTGAGTCCTGCATGGTCAGATCCTTTACTTAAGTGAAAGAACCCATTCTAAAAATAATCATAATTGCAAGCCCTGCATTCAAATTCATACAAAAGTAAAAGTACAGAAGTATTATCAGCAAACTGTACTGATGCTTATAGTGTCAAAAGTAAAAGGCCCCTGTGACATATTAATACTAATGCATGAATTCATCCGTAGCATTTTATTGGTAAACTGGTTTACTAATTTATATCCAGAAGGTAGTTTAGTCTAGGCCGTGGTTACCAACCCGGACAACTTGTGACAAAAGGGTCACATGAAACATCTGAGGAGTTGTGAGATGATTAATGGGGTTGGCCTCAACGAGACACTTTTTTGCAAAAAGGGTTTGATCTTTAACAGTGTGATGTATTTACTACAATGATCACTTGTTTTGCTTATTAAATCTTAATTTGAGAGGTAACTTGTATTAACAGCTGTCAGATGAATTAAGTGGAGTCAAAAGAGCAGTATTTTAAGGTCCCCCTGTAGTTTAGGGGTCAAACCATTAACTGCAATGTCTCCAGTCAGTTGTAAACAATGATTTAATTAGTGTCATAACATCGGTGTTTAGGTCATAAAAAAAGATCTTGAGTTTGCTTATGTGCAAATAAGTAAATTGTTGGCAATTCTGCTTTTACCCTATATATTATTTTTTTCTTTCAGTTTGCAAAGGTCACGGGGGCCGAGTTTACTTGTGCTGAAGCAGATGTGAACTCTGCAGGATTCACGACGACACAGCAAGAAGATCCAGATAAATCAGTGTGGATGTTGTCACTGGATCCTTGTGTTACTGAGAACTTGAATACCCACAGACCCGTGAATGTGTGCTCCAATAAACTGCATACATACAAAGAATGAAGAGAAAGTTATTTGTAAAACACCAATAGGTATATATATTTAAACTTTATTAGTTAATCTGATGCAAGATTGTAACAAATTATAAAACTCTTACAGGGAGGGGGGAGTATACGCCTGGTAAAATCATTTTCCTCTTCCATTAGACAGGTTGATAGTCGAGTCTAGCCATTTGCCTGCCATCTCTCTTACGTTCTTTACCCAAAAACATTGTTACCATCTCAGTCCCATCTGTCTCACCTTTATTCCCTTCACAATTTTATACTTGTCAAAAAACAGGCAAACCCAGGAATAATCCACACAAGCGCAGACATAAAGAGGAGCGTGAGGTTGTGAATTGGTGATTGCCACTGAATGGCTGTGATACTAAGGCGCAAAACAAAAATGAAAACACACACACACACACTATTCTCAGAATGAGAAAACTGTCATTTTTGGGGGTTTCTGATGCTATTTGTGTTGCTGTGTATGTGTTCTACATTATATTCCCACTTTGAGAAGTTGCGTAGTAAACAAGGCATTTAAAAGAAAGAAAAAGATGCTACAAGGTGGAGAGTTGTGTTCGAAGCTCTGTATCATCATCACACTTTTAAGCCAAACACAAGTAAAACAACAGATGCTCTCTGTGTGTGCTCGAAGCAAATGACACCATCTTTACATTTTTTTTAACCAGGAAAATAGCTTTGAATGAGTCCAGGGGACAATCCGGTATAAAGGAGGGTTGTGTTCTTTCCCGGCTCTGACCCATGTTTGAAACAAGTATAAAATCTCCTCCAGCTACTCAAAATATTCCTCTATGTTTCAATATTTTAGACCTACAGTATGTTATCCAGTGTTGGTACACTACAAAATCCAGCAATCCTGATTTTTTTTCCATTGTTGAGCTTTCTTTAGCCCTTTCTAGCTGCTGCATTTACTCCTCAAAGCAAACCACCGGTTGCACTGCTGGTGTAACTGAAACAATACCAAAACATGTCAAACGGACAGACTTTTTCTAAAGAATCTGAGGTACGAACAGGTTGGGAAGACACTGACAGTGATGTCATTTTTCACAACAAGCCGATATTAAATTTATCACTCGTAGTCACAACTAGAAAGTACATGGATGACTTAAACGATTGCCACAGATAAAGTTTCACTAGTGAGGTTCAGCA